TCCAGTCTCTTCTTGAAAGCCTCCAGTGATGAAGCTCCCACAACTCCCGAAGGCAACTTCTGTTCCATGGGTTGATTGTTCTCCCTGTCAGAAAATATGATATATGATATCCTGCTTGAGCAGAGGGTTGGACTAGAAGACCTCCAAGGCCCCTTCCAACTCTGGTATTCTGTTATTCTGATTCAAAATGGCTGAAGCTGCAGGAAGTCCTACACCTCCTTAGACCAGGAATGCCCTCTGGCCAGAGGCCAGGAAGGATGATGACCAACAATGCTGCCCCCAGTGCCATCTTCTCATTGGGCATTGAGAGGCTCCTTTATCCATTCGGAGGCAAAAGGGAGCCAGTTGATATAGTGGTTAAGGCACCAGGCTGAGAACCAGGCGATGGCGAGTTCTAGTTCCGCCTTAGGCATCAAAGTCGGCTGGCTGACTTTGGGCCAGTCCCTCTCTCTCAGCCCAACCTACCTCACAGGATTGTTGTTGTTGTGGTGGGGAAATTAGGAGGAGGAAGGAGTTATTAGGCAGGTTTCCCATCTTGAGTTATTTATAAAAATAAGGAAGGGCACATAACAGAAAATAAAGTGAAATCAAATTATATAAAATAATAATAAAATTTCTTTCTCTGGTCCTTGCCCCACCCACTCTCTGTTTGTGTGTATGTGTGTTCTTCTCCATTCCCTGGAGAGTCCCTCATATATTTTTGTCTTGTACACAGAAGTTGAAATACGCCAAAGTCCCAAGAAAGGAACCCAATAACTCCAACTTCCAGCCCAACATGGAAAGTTTTCGTTCAGTTCCTCCCGTCTCCCCGAGCCGCCCCTGTTGCAATGCAGAGCCTTCCTTCACAACTCAGAGCCAGCCAAGGATTTTTCCCCTTTGTGTCTTTTTGAAGGATTTCTGCACACAATCAGCTCTGACAATGCACACCTGCCCACAGGCTGCATCCTTGCATTGATCTCCACCTGTCCGTCTCCATTGGATCTATTCATGGCCTGGTCCCCCCCACACACACACACACACTGGTCCCTCGGCCCTCCTGCTGGAGACCAAGGCCCCTTTCCAGAATAGAGACCCCCTCCGGCTTCTTCTTGTGGTTTTGTGTCTACACAAACACACAGTCAGCTGGGCACATCTCCTTCCCCGAGAACCTGAGAAGCAGCTGGCCGGGTAAATATCAAGCTGGCTAGCATTAAAGCCGAGGAATTGAGGATTCTCAAATGTCAAGGCTTTACGGGCAGAATTTGGGAATTAGGGGGTAGAAAAACAAGAGAGATAAACCCTTCGGGAGAATCGGGCAGGGAGGAGGGGGAGAGAAAGGAAAAAGGGGTTGGGGTGAAGGCAACAGCAAAGAAAGCAAAATCCTTGCTGCGTTTCCCACGGCTGGAGGAAGGAACTGTGCACAATGATCAGTACACAGTAAATCAGAAGAACAGAGCCGGAAGGGGCCTTGGAGGTCTTCTAGTCTGACCCTCTGCCCAGGCAGGAGGCCCTACTCCATTTCAGACAAATGGCTGCCCAGTCTCTTCTTGTGGGTTGGAGCTCCCACAATTTCCAGAGGGAAGCCGTTCCTGTGATTGCAGGGAGTCCTCCACATACGACAGTTCATTTAGTGACCGTTTGAAATGACGACAGCACTGAAAAAAAGTGACTTATGACCATTTATCATACTTACGACCATTGCAGCATCCCTCATGATTCAAAATTCAGACATTCGGCTCATATTTATGACGGTCCCAGTTTACCCAGGTCACGCGATCTCCTTTTGTGATCTTCTCAAGGGAGAAGCCAGATTCAGAATCAGAATCATCAGAATAGAGCTGGAAGGGACCTTGGAGATCATCTAGTCCAACCCCCAGCTCAAGCAGGAGGCCCTAGACCATTTCAGATAGGGGGCTGTCCAGTCTCTTCTTAAAAACCTCCAGTGATGATGGAGCACCCGCACCTTCTGGTGGCAAGCAGTTCCACTGGCTAATTGTCCTCATTCTTAGGAAGTTTCTCCTTAATTCCAGGTTGCTTCTCTCCTGGATGAGTTTCCATCCGTCGCTTCCTGTCCGTGTTACTCACTTTAACAAGTGCAGCGACTCACTCAACAACGGTGGCGAGGAAGGTCGTAAAATGGGGCAAAGCTCGCTTAAGAACTGTCTCGCTTAACAATGGAAATGTTGGGCTCAACTGTGGTCGTAAGTCGAGGACTACCTGTAATTGTTCTCACTGTTAGGAAACCTCTCCTTAGTTCCAGATTGGCTCTCTCTTGGCGTTGCTTTCTCGGTTTTTTGAAATGCTTCCCCTCCCTCTGCTGGGTTGCCTGTCTTAATCGGAGCCCTAAATTCCCCCCCCCCCATCCTTTGCCCTCCTGCTAAGTGGGGAGGGGGCTACTTACCAAGGGACCCACCTACCCAGAGGACAGAGAGCCTCCCTTCCATTAGCTTCTCTGGCCTTTTTCCAAGACGCCTTGAGATAAAAGCATGTGGGAGAAAGCGACTTCTCCACAAAGCCAAGTCAGGAGCCTAGGAGACCCTTGGGGGAGGGGGCTGTGAGAGGAAGGGGCACCTCTGGACACCCCCCCCTTCTAGATTTGCTTCTGGGGGGGTCAATTTGTTTTCCAAAGCCCCTGAAGGCAGGACAAGAAGCAACGGATGGAAACTGATCAAGGAGAGAAGCAACCCGGAATTAAGGAGAAACTTCCTGACAGTGAGGACGATTAACCAGAGGAACAGCTTGCCACCAGAAGTTGTGAATGCTCCAAACACTGGAGGTTTTTAAGAAGAGAATGGACTGCCACTTGTCTGAAATAGGAAAGGGGCTTCTGCTTGAATAGAGGGCTGGACGAGAAGACCTCCAAGATCCCTTCCAACTTAGTTACTCTGTTATGCTGTTATCCATCCTTCCTTCCTTCCTTCTTCTCTTCTCCTTTCTTCTTTCCTTCTTCCCTCTCTCCCTCCTCTCCTTCCTTCCTCTTCTCCTTCCTTTTCTTTCTTCTTTCCTTCTCCCCTCCCTCCCTCTCCTTCTATCCTTCCTTCCTCTTCTCCTTCCTTTTTCTTCTTTCCTTCTTCCCTCCCTCCCTCTCCTTCTATCCTTCCTTCTTCTCCTTCCTTTTCTTTCCTTCTTCCCTCCCTCCCTCTTTCTATCCTTCTTTCCTCTTCTTCCTTTTCTTTCTTCTTTCCTTCTTCCCTCCCTCCCTCCTCCTTCTATCCTTCCTTCTTCTTCCTTTTTTTTTCTTTCCTTCTTCCCTCCCTCCCTCCTCTCCTTTTATCCTTCCTTCTTCTCCTTCCTTTTCTTTCTTTCCTTCTTCCCTCCCTCCCTCCTCTCCTTCTATCCTTCCTTCCTCTTCTCTCCTTCCTTTTCTTCTTTCTTTCTTTCTTCCCTCCCTCCCTCCCTCCTCTCCTTCTATCCTTCCTTCCTTCCTTCCTTCTCCATGACTGGAGGTTTTCAAGAAGAGACTGGACAGTCTGGAATGGCACGTAAGGTCTCTCTTGCCTGAGCAGGGGTTGGACTAGAAGACCTCCGAGGTCCTTTCAGCCCTAGGATTTACATTCAACCGAAGGGAGCCCACCGCTTCTCTTCACTGTTGGCTGCCTGGACAAATTGCTTTTTTTCTTTTAATTTGATTTATATGCCGCCCTTCTCCGGAGACTCAGGGCGGCTTACAATGTGCTCAGCAATAGCCTTCATCCTTTTGTATATTTATACAAAGTCAGCTTATTGCCCCCACAAACTGGGTCCTCAATTTACCCACCTTAGAAAGGATGGAAGGCTGAGTCGACCTTGAGCCTGGGGAGAGTCGAACTTACAGTAATTGCAGGCAGCTGGTCTTAATAACAGGGTGCGTAGACCACTGTACTACCAAGGCTCTCTCCCTATTCCCTGGCATTGGCCTCTGGCTACCCGGAGAGCCTCATTCCGTGTCCTGCACTGCAGGAGGATCCCCAAATATCCGTTTGTCGTCTGATTGTTACCCCCTGCAACTACGCGGTTTGGGAGAGAAAGAAAAAACTTTGCTTTGCTTCTTCTATTCTTTACGGGGAATATTTGCTGGGAGGCCCAAGTGGAGAAACAGATCAAGGATGAAACAACCTTCCAAGCAATAAAAAGATGATTTCAGCCCCAGCAGCATGAAGATTGCGAACATAACCGCGAAAGAGGGCTCTTGAAACAAACAATTGTTCCCATGAGAACCGAGGATCAAAGCGGAACACGGCAGGAAGCAGCGGGAAAATATCTGGCTGGCCCCGGGCCAAGCGGGCGGTAAATCACGTGGATGGGAACTGTAGTACAGGGAGTCCTCGGCTTATGACCATTCGCTTAGTGACCGTTCAAAGTTACAACAGCCCTGAAAAGAGTGACTTATGACCATTGCTCACACTTACGACAGGGTCCCCATGGTCACGTGATCAAAACTCAAGGCGCTTGGCAACTGACTCATATTATGACGGTCCTGGGGTCACAGGGTCCCCTTTTGTGACCTCACAAGCAAAGTCAACGGGGAAGCCACTTAACAACCGTGATCCTAACTTAACCACGGCAGGCTGAAGAAATCTTGAAATTGTAGATCACTCTAGCTGGCTGAGGAGTTCTGGGAATTGTAGTTCTCCCTTGCCAACTCGGGAATTCTGGGAATTGGAGTCCTCCCTTGCTAGCTGGGGAATCCTGGGAATTGGAGTCCTCCCTTGCTAGCTGGGGAATCCTGGGAATTGGAGTCCTCCCTTGCTAGCTGGGGAATCCTGGGAATTGTAGTCCTCCCTTGCTAGCTGGGGAATCCTGGGAATTGGAGTCCTCCCTTGCTAGCTGGGGAATTCTGGGAATCGGAGTCCTCCCTTACTAGCTGGGGAATCCTGGGAATTGTAGTCCTCCCTTGCTAGCTGGGGAATCCTGGGAGTTCCATACACCTTAAAAGTTGCCAACTTTGAAAAACTGGGGTCTAAAGCAACAGAGGAGCCCACCACCACCAGTAATGGGTAGAAGCCCTCCACCAACCTTCGCAAGCCCCCCACCAACTCCAATTCCTTCTGACAATTTTATTCTGATTACAAAAAGGAGACCAATAAAAATACATCGGCTGAAAACGATGGGCCCCGTCCCTTTTCCACAGCACCCGTGCAAAGCTGGGCTTTCTGATCCTGGTCATCAGGAGGAGGAGGGGGCAGAGAGAAGCCCCCCACCCTGCCAGCCGCAGTCTTGGTACCCTCTGCGGTGCTTGTACCGAGACGCCACTGTCCGTGTTTCCTTCTTCCAGGTGGGCAGTTGCTGGCAAGAGAGCCCCGAGTCTGTAGAAGAGACGGGGGTGCAGAATTGGGGACCCCAAAGAGGTGGGACGAGCAGCCGGTCTTAGCCGCCGGCCACCCTGATGGATGCAGCTTCCCTCTTCTGCGCTCAGCGCCCCCTGATTTCAGGGGTTCAGAAAAAGGGACGGGAGCTGAAATGTTTGGGGTGGACAGCAGGTCCCTTCCGAGTGACCCCAAACTCCCCGCTGAGCAAAGGCTCCTCCGTGACCTTCCTCTCCTCCCAGCTCGGTCTGCTGGGGGAGCACGGGGGGGAGGGGTCTCTTTGCACCCCAAAAATTCTTGTTTCCAAAAAACGTTCCGGCGCCTGGTAAAACCCAGGCTACACAACGTCCGTCAGAGATGGCGAAAGGGCAGGGGTGGTCTTGGCAACGATCCCCAGGAAGTCCAGGCTGCAGGCAAGGAAGCTGCCAAACCGTGGCGGGTGAGGGGGGCAACGTCTGGTTCCTGGCACAGAAATGACCCTTTGGTGACCAGCTTCCAAGTCCAGGCTGTCTGCAAACCCCTCCCCCCACCCCCTTTTCTGGTTGGAGGCCTCGTTCTTGCTGCTTTCGGGTCTTCCGTGGACTCCAGAGAGTCTGTCCTGGATACTGGGCACCCCTCCCTCCCCCCCACCCTGCTGGAGCAGCCTCCAGTGGATGGACCGGCCTCAGCTGCGCTTGTCCTCCGTTGTCCAACCTACAAGAGAAAGAAAGAAAGAAAGAAAGAAAGAAAGAAAGAAAGGAAGGAAGGAAGGAAGGAAGGAAGGAAGGAAGGAAGGAAGGAAAGAAGGGAGGGAGGGAGGGAGGGAGGGAGGAAGGAAGGAAAGAAAGAGAGAGAGAGAGAGGGAGGGAAGGAAGGAAGGGAAGGAAGGGAGAGAAAGAAAGAGGGAGGGAGGGAAGGAAGGAAGGAAGGAAGGAAGAAAGCAGGAGGGAGGGAGGGAAGGAAGGAAGGAAGGAAAGGAAGGAAGGGAGAGAAAGAAAGAAAGAAAGAAAGGGAGGGAGGGAAGGAAGGAAGGAAGGAAAGTGAGGGAGAGAGAAAGAAGGAAAGAGAGAGAGGGAGGAAGGGAAGGAAGGGAAGGAAGGAAGGGAGAAAAAGAAAGAAAGAGGGAGGGAAGGAAAGAAGGAAAGTGAGAGAAAGAGAGAGAGAAAGAGAAAGAAGGAAAGAAAGAAAGAGTTGGGGAAGAATCTGGGTTGGGGGCCGTGTCCACAGGATTTGTCGAGATCTGGGCTATGGGAGCAGGGGAGCAGCTGGCCCCTTTAAAAGGCCAGTCCAGGATCTCCGCAAAGTCCAGGCATCCTCCCCCTCCCCCTCCCCCCCCCCAGGCAGAGGGCCAACTTCCCTGACCGCTGCAGGATGGCCGGTCAACTTACCTGGTGTGCCTCTGCCAGATTCACACATCCCGAAGGAGCTGCAGAGAGAAGGAGAGAAGGTCAGAAGAGACCCCGGGATTCCTGCCCAGGGTGGGTGGGGGGGTCCTCAGGCTGGACCCCTCTGGGCGCATGGAAGAGAGCCAGCTCCCACCAGGACCTCAGGGACCCCCAACCACCCAGGTCCAGGGGAAGACAAGGGAGGAAGAAGAGGAGGGGAGGGGGAAAGAGGGAGGGGGGAGGGAGGAACTGGATTGTAGATGAATGAAAGATGAGAAAGAGAAAGCAAAGAGAAAAAGAAGAGAAGGGAGGGAGGAAGGAAGGAAGGAAGGAGGAAGAAAGAACAAGAGAGAGAGAGAAAGGAAGAGAAAGAAAGAAAGAAAGAAAGAAAGAAAGAAAGAAAGAAAGAAAGATAGATAGATAGATAGATCATCAGGGACCCCCAACCACCCAAGGGGAGGGGAAGGGGAGGAGGGAGAGGAGGGGGCAGGGGGGAGGGAAGAAATGGATTATAGATGAGAGAAAGATAAGAAAGAGAAAACAGAAAAAGAAGAGAAGGAAGGAAGAGCAAGAGACAATAGAGAAAGAATGAGAAAGAGAGTCAGGGAAAGGAAGGGAAGGGAAAGAGAGGGAGGAAGGGGAGGGGAGGGGAGGGGTCAGCCTCACCGTCAAGGGGTCAGCCACGAAAGCAGCCACGCTGTTCCGCATCTCATTCTCGCTGCCTCGCAGGGGGATCAGGGAGACGTTGCCCAGCCGGGAGTCTGGTGGCGCCTGGGGAAGCCGGACCTTGGACGACTCCGAAGGCCAGATGTTGCCTCCGTGCTGGGGGAGGGGGGGGGGGGGGGGTAAATGGGGGGGGGAGAGAAAGAGAGAGATTAAGGGCCTTGCATCCTTCTCCTTCGGGAAGCTCAATCCATCCAGGGCACAAACAGGGAACCCCCCCCCCCCGCCCCTTATCAGGGTCAGGGTCCCACCCCGGACCCTTCAGCGAGGCAGACAACCTCAGCCAGGAGCCTGCTCTGCGTGGCCAAAACGGAACAAGTTCCTAGTCCTCATGGCCAAAATCTCAGGAACTGCACTTGGGGGAAGGGGGGGGCAGCGGGGAAGCTTCCTGCGTCAAATGGCAAGTGTGCAAACACAGCTGGCGGGCACGAGGGATTGTGCCAATAGCACTTCCATCACCTAAGCAGGCCCTACCCTGTTGGCTCAGAGCAGGACCTACCCCAAGAGGGGTCCCAGGCTTGGGGCAGGGGAAGGGCCTCAGTCCCGGGATGCAGGCATGGAAGACCAAGGAAGGAGACCCTCCCTGGAAAGCCTTCCCCACCCCCACCCCCGGCCCAGGTGGAGGCTGCCCTGCCTTACCTGCATGGAGAGGAAGTTGGCAAACCACGTTCGCATTTCCATCTGGGTGTCACAACAGAGGTACCTGCGGAGGAGGGGAGGGGAGGGGGCAGGAGAGTGAGAAGGGGACGCCCATCCTGCCCCCCAGAAGAAGGGCTGCTGGCGCAGGGCCTTTTCTGCAGCGGCCCCTATTTTCGGGGACATCCTCTCCTTGGATATGAGAAGGGTTAGAGCAGTGTTTCTCAACCTTGGAAGCTTGAAGATGGGTGGACTTCAACTCCCAGAATTCCCTAGCCCAGTGTTTCTCAACCTTGGAAGCTTGAAGATGGGTGGACTTCAACTCCCAGAATTCCCTAGCCCAGTGTTTCTCAACCTTGGAAGCTTGAAGATGGGTGGACTTCAACTCCCAGAATTCCCTAGCCCAGTGTTTCTCAACCTTGGAAGCTTGAAGATGGGTGGACTTCAACTCCCAGAATCCCCCAGCCAGCGCTGCTGGCTGGGGGATTCTGGGAGTTGAAGTCCACCCATCTTCAAGCTTCCAAGGTTGAGAAACACTGCGTTAGAGGGTTAGGCCTTTGGCAAGGTTTTAAAACCCCTGGCTGAGCACCTGAGCCTGGGGCACTGAATGCGTCAAGAGCCCCCCGTTGCTTTGCTGCACAGGTAGTCCTCAACTTACGACCCCGAGGGAGCCCAAAATTTCCATGGCCGAGCAAGACCGTCGCTAAGAGAACGTCGCCCCATTTGGCAAGTTATTGCAGTTATTAAAAGAATCACAGCAGTCATTAAGTTAGCAACACGGTTGTTAAGCGAATCCAACTTCCCCATTGACTGGGCTTGTCAGTCAGTCGCAAAAGGGGATCACGTGACAGCCTGCCTCCCCCGGGACGCTGCGACCGTCATAAATATGAATCCGTGGCCAAGCATCCAAATTTCGATCATGTGACCACAGGGATGCTGCAAAGGTCATAAGTGTGAAAAATGGCCATACTCTTAAGTCACTTTTTTCAGTGCCGCTGTAATTTCAAACGGTCACTAAACAAATTGTTGTAAGTTGAGGACTATCCGTAGTGGTAACTGACTAAGTATCTCGGCTGCCATGTATATTTATTTTATATGTTTTTAATGGTTTTTAAAATGCTTCTTATTGATTGCATTGCTTCATTGTTTTTACACTTTGGGAATTGTAAGCCACCCGGCGTCACTGATTGAGACAGTTTTAGCCTCACCTGAGGCAGGAAAGCCGACTGGGTGACTCTGGGCCAATTGCTAGGAGACAGGGAGTTCCAGTTGCAATTTAAGCATGAAAACCGGCTAGGCGACTTTGAGCCAATCACAGGAGACAGGGAATTCTAGTCCTGCCTTAGGAATGAAAGCCGGCTGGGAGACTTTGGGCCAATCACCAGGAGACGGGGAGTTCTAGTCCCACTTTAGGCACAAAAGCTGGCTGGATGACCTTGAGCCCGTCACTCCTTCTCAGCCCTAGGATGGAAGCAATGGCCAACCGCTTCTGAAAAACCTTGCCAAGAAGCTGCACGTCCAGAAAGTCTCTAAGCACTGGACACGGTTGGACGGAAGAAATAAAATATTGGAATGGACTAAGGAGGGACGCCCTGGTGGGATCGAACCCCTGCCCTTTTAGCTATAGGACAGGATAAGCATCAAACCAAGGACCCCCCCCCCACTCCCTCCAGCTGCCGGCCCCGGGCCCCTTACCACTGCTGCTTCTCCATCTTTTCGTTCTCAAAGAAGACAGTGAAGCCCCAGCTGGAAAAGAGAAACAAGGAGACCCTGTTGTGAGGTTGTGTGGATGTGTGCACAAATTCCCACCCTGGCTCCTGGGGCCCACCCAGCTTCACGCTTCCCTGGTCGGCAGCCTGCAGGGGGCGCCAGAGAGTATTCAAACCAGGCCATTGGAGAATGGGGTAGAGCCCAAAGTGCTTTTTCAAAAGGCACTTTTGTTTTTTCCTTGGTTTTTGTTTCCCTTTCCTTCCCCAGAACGGATGAAGCTTCTTGGATGAGAAGCGAAATGTCTTCATTGCAAAGAAGAAGAAAAAAGTCCAGTTGCCTTTTGAAAAAGCACTTTTGGGGACAAACTTGACCTGGATAACTGAGAATCTCCGTAGACATTGGAAGGGGATCTTTCACGCAACAGGTTGAAGAGGCTGGAGGGGTTGGATAGGGGAGGAGGGGGCTTCCATGCAGTCTCCCAACTGCAGCAGGAAGCCAGAACAGATGCCCAGACGATGAAAACTATGCAGACATTGGAGCGAGTTTAAGATTTGAATTTTGCACCGACCAGCCGGTCTTCCAGTGACTCTGTGGGGTGATGGAGGGGTTGGGAGGCCGGTTTCTTGGATTAAGGCTCTGGGGTTTGACGCAAGGCAGCCTATCCTGTGCACTTTGGGGGCTGGCCCCACATCTCAACCCCACACACCCTACAAGGAGGGAGGAGATTTTCTTTTCCCCTGCAGCTCAAATTCTCTTTGGCCATCTGCAGCCAAAGGAACACCTTCCCCCCCTTCCTTTGCCCATCTTGGGCACCTCTAGAAGGTCATTTTACACTTTTAGAGGTCACCCCCCCCCCCCTTGGCTGGTGGGTCAGGAGCTGGACAAGGCTTGTGTCCATGGAGCAAGGCTGCTCCCTGCTGGCCCAAAACAGGAATGGCTGCCTTATTATTATTATTATTTTTATTTGATATATATGCCGCCCTTCTCCAGAGACTCAGGGCGGCTTACAGTGGATTAAGCAATAGCCTTCATCCTTTTTGTATATTTATACAAAGGCAGCTTATTGCCCCCACAATCTGGGTCCTCAATTTACCTACCTTAGAAAGGATGGAAGGCTGAGTCAACCTTGAGCCTTGGAGAGATTTGAACTTGCAGTAATTGCAGGCAGCAGATGTTAATAACAGTGCTTTAGTCTGCTGCGCCACCAGAGCTCTTATCTCACTGACCATCCAGGGTCTTTTGAGGATCTTGCTCTACAAACACACCTTGTAGGGCAGGTTTAGCCCACCTGCGCTGGGGTGGCTCCCCTTTGCAGGGACAACCATCAGGTGGGACTCACAGACGGGCATCTGCTCCACTTACCAAGTTGGTGGACGGACCTTCTTCTTAATTCCCAGATAGATCTTCAGGTTCTTCACCAGCCATTCTTTCTCCGGTTTATGGCTCTGTGCGAGAGAAGGAGGGCCGGATGAACGGCAAAAAAAGGGGGGCCACGTCCCCACAGCCCACAAAGAAGGGCCAGCTCAGGTCCCCACTAGAGGCGCCACATCCCACCTCCAAAAGCAGAGTGGCTGCCTTCAAAATCCACCACTAAAGGTGGGCATTAAAGGTGGACGTAGGGAGCCAGTTTGGTCTCCTTCACCATGAAAACCAGCTGGGTGACTTTGGGCCAATCACCAGGAGACGGTGAGTTCTAGTCCCACTGTAGGCATAAAAACTGGCTGGAGACCTTTGGGCCAATCACCAGGAGATGGCGAGTTCTAGTCCCACCTTAGGTGTGAAAGTTGGCTGAGTGACTTTGGGCCAATCACCAGGAGACGGTGAGTTCTAGTCCCGCCTTAGCCATGAAAGCCAGCTGGGTGACTGGGCCATGGGGGGCTTTGTAGGTGACAACTAAGACCTTGAATTGGACCCAGAAGCAAATCGGCAGCTAATGCAGCCCCCGCAAGAGAAGCGTCTCACGTGCAAACCGAGATTTGCAGGCTGCCACATTTTGACCCAATGGAAGTTTCCGGATACTCTTCAAAGGCAGCCCCACGTTGGGCGCCTTGCAACAGTCAAGCCGAGAGGCGAGTCGGGCGTGGGTGGACCATGAGGATGGATTGCTGGTGCAAAGTCGGAGGAAGGGGACCTACCCGGACCTCCTTGTAAAGGCGGAGGGAGTGGTTGTTGAGGATGAAGTATCGGTCGTGGAATCCGGTGCTGAGCCCCACCCCGAGCACGTTCTTCTCCTCACGGAACTTCATCAAGCCGTGTTTGCTGTCGCCCACCTTGCTCGCTGTGGGGGAGGAGGAAGAGGGGCTTGGAGGAAGCCATTTGGGACAGGGACAGAGGCCCCAGTTCTGAACGGTCTTTGGGGAAAACCAGGGGAGGAGAACTCGGGGGGGTTCCCAGGAGACCCCTCCTCCCTGTTGTCCCCACTCCACCCTGGGTGTCTTCTTGGCAGCAGTCAAGGGCCACAGGCAGGAGAGCAGGAAGGAGAGCAGCCCCCACGGCCTCCCAATGATAGTTAGCATCCTTCGCTGCTTAAAGGGACACGGCTCCTCTACCCAGGGGGGCCCACCGGGCATGGCTCCCTCAACCCATCTTGTCCCCCCCAGCTGCTCTTGGGGCAATGCAAGTCACTGCCGGGGGGAAGAGGGGAGACTTCCCTTCCTCTCCTCTCTCCTCCCTTCTTTTCCCTCCTTCCTTCCTTCCCACTTTGTTCTCCTCCTCCCTCCCTCCCCTCCCTTCCTTTCTTCCACCCTCCCTCCTTTCCTTCCTCAACCCTGCTCCTTTCTCCAGGCGACAGGGTGGACGGGGGCTGACCCCCCAGGAAGGGCCCCCCCCTCCCAGTCCCTGCCTGCCCCCTGCTGCTGCTCCACTTACCCAGGTAAAGCAGCATGTTCTCCATGGAGAGCTGCTTCTTCACCACCAGGTAGCTGTCCTTTCCCAGGCTGTGGACGATGGGGAGCACCTTCTCGCTGTAGTGCAGGGGGGCTCTTCACCGGGAGGAGGAGGAGGAGGAGGAGAGAGAAGGCACAGAAAGGGAGGCCTAAATGGTGTGAAGGGGCCAAAGCCCCTGGAGGGTCTCCCCTCGGTTGCCAGAGGTTGTCAGAGCAGGTCAAGGGTCAGATGGACTGAGCTCCCTTGTCACGCTCACTTCCTTCCAGCCCAGAGGCCACCTGGACTCTCCAAGGCCACCTCTGGGACTCTCTACACTTTGGGGTCCTCTTCAGCCCTCCAAGAGAGTCCAGGATGCCTTAACCTGGTTTGGAGAAAGTCTGACCACCCCCTTCCACATCAGGGTTTCAAACCCCACTTCCCTTCACCTCACCTCACCTCCCCCTCCTTCTCCCCTCCTCTTTCTTTCTTTCTTTCTTTCTTTCTTTTTCTTTCTTTCTTTCTTCTTTTTCTTTCTCTCTTCCTTCCTTTCCTCTCTGTCATTCTTTCTTTTCTTTCTTTCTTTCATCTTCCTTCCCTTCTTTCCTTTCTCCTGACTACCTTTCCCTCCCTCCCTCTTTTTCTTTCTTTCTTTTTTTTCTTTCTTTTCCTTCCTTCCTTCCCTTCCTTCCTTCCTTTTCTTTCAGTTTCCTTTTCTTCTCTATTTCCTTCCTTCCTTTTTCTTGCCTTCTCTTTCTTTTTCTTTCTTTCAACTTCCTTCCTTTCCCTTTCTCCTACCTTTCTTTCCCTCCCTCTCTCCCCCCTTTTTCTTTCCTTCCTTCCTTTTTCCTTCCTTCCTTTCCTTTCCTTTCCTTTCCTTCTCTTTCCTTTCCTTCTTCTTTATTTCCTTCCTTTCTTTTTCCTTCCTTCTTTCTTTTCCTTCCTCCCTTCTTTCAAAAGCTCCCCCACTGACCTGCCTCTTCTCGCTCATTGACTTCAAAGCAGCTCCAGAAATCCTTCTCCTTGGTGGGGATTTTCCTCCGGTCCAAGATCGTGAAGGTCAGCTCTTCTGCCGTCATGGTGGCCGGGATCTGAGGGGAGAAGACACCCAGCTGAGCGGGAGGATCCCCCAGACTTTAGGCTAATTGCCAGGAGACAGTGAATTCTAGTTGTGCCTTATACATGAAAGCTGGCTGGGTGGTTTGGGGCCAATCACTAGGAAGCTGTGAGTTCTAGTCCCGCCTTAGGTACAAAAGCCAGCTGGTGATTTCTGGGAAGTGTAGTCCCAATGATTGCTTCAACACCTTCAGTGTTGGCTACAGTGGCTGGGATTTCTGGGAAGTGTAGTCCCAATCCACTGGGGGTTGCAAGGAGTTGGGGAAGACCAGGTAGCCTTCAAGTGCTGGTCCAAAATGCCAGTGTCAGGTTTCGGTGTCGTCTTCAAATAAATTGCATTTCCAAACAAATAGTCTTTGATGAAATCTTTCATTTATTAAGCATGACAATCTGGCCCCGATTATGTCATAGCCAACACTGACTTCCTGACCCCAAACCTTCCCTTTCCCTTCCCCAATTCTCTGCATCTCATTGGCTATCTTCCAAATCACTCTCCCCATATCTACTACTTCAGCTCCCAGGAATGTCCCCCCTCCCATCTCATCTCCTAGGGGATATTATCTTCAGGGAAAATAAGTAGGTGAAAAAGTCAAGCGTCCTCTTGCCAGCTGCCCCCTCTTCTCCTCCTTATGTCAGCACTGGAACGAATGTAGTTTGGAGTGCTGACAGCAGCAGCAGCTCAGTTCTCCTTCCAGCACCAGGGATCATTCAGAAGCTCCCAGAGCCCCTTCCCTTGGCCTGGTTTCTCTCCCCCAGCCCAGCCCCACTTGCCCCCACCCCAATTATCTTCCCCTAATCATGTGGCTTTCCTTGCCAGCTTCAGATCACCCCAACCCCACCCGCCACTGCCCCCACTGCTCTTTCTGGCCTGGGCTGCCTCACCTTCACGTGCTGCTCGGCCTCCAGCTTCTTCTCCTCCAGATACACCGTGCAGATAAAGTCCCCAGCATGCTGAGAAGGGGGAAAGAAATAAAAGAAATAAAACAAGTTTAAAAATTAGCTCTCTCTTTGGGGCGGAGAAGCTCCGAGGGACATTTGCAGGCTGGGTGTCCAACTGTCCTGGAGGCCATCTTTTACTTTGGGTCTTCAGGGCTGCCACCCTCGGTGGATGGGCTGTGGGAAACATGTGCAGCCACAACAACATTCTTTTCCCCGGGAGTCAAGGACGTTCAGCCTGCACCTGGAGAGGCCCGACTGGGAAGCAACACCAGTTGGGATGGGGACCTGATTGGACCATACAATGGACATGTGGGTGCAGGGGAAGGGGCTTTGAGTTTGGTTTGGGTGGGGAAAACCCGGGGGCCTTTCAGATTCGGGTTTTTCCCAGATGTGCCAATAGGACATCTCTAATAAAATGGAACTTGGAGGGAGGCGCCCGCCTTGGAGTTTTACTTCTGCTGCGGGTGTTCCTTGGATCCCTGACATTGGGGGGCAGGGATCAGCCAGAGCTGGGGTGCTATTAGAACCATTCCCACATCCGCCTATCATCCATCTGTCTGTCCATCCGTCTGTCCATCTTTCTGTCTGTCTGTCATCTGTCTATCCATCCTCCCACCCTTCCTTCTTTTCTCTTTTTTTCTCTTCCTTCCTTCCTTTCTGTCTGTGTACATCTCTCTGTCTGTCAGTCCGTCCGTCTGTCTGTCATCTGTCTATCCATCCTCCCACTCTCTTTTTTCTTTCTTTCTTTCTTTTATCTATCTGTCTGTCATCTGTCTATCCATCCTCCCACTCTTCCTTCCTTCCTCTATTATCTATCTGTCTGTGTACATCTGTCTGTCTGTCTGTCATCTGTTTATCCATCTTCCCACTCTCCCTCCCTTTCTTTCTTTCTTTCTTTCCTTCATTCATCCATCCATCTATCTATCTATCTATCTCTACCTACCCACCTATTATCTATCATATATCTATCATATATCAATCATCTATTATCTATCATCCATCCATTATCTATCTATCTATCTATCTATCTATCTATCTATCTATCATCCATCCATCATCTATCTATCTATCTATCTATCTGTCTATCTATCTATCTATCTATCTATCTATTCCATCCATCATCTATCTATCTATCTATCTATCTGTCTATCTATCTATCTATCTATCTATCTATCATCCATCCATCATCTATCTATCTATCTATCTATATCTGTCTATCTATCTATCTATCTATCTATCTATCTATCTATCTATCATCCATCCATCATCTATCTATCTATCGATCTATCTATCTATCTATCTATCTATGCATCCATCCATCCATATCTATCTATCCATCCATCCATCCATCCATCCATCCCTGTCTATCTGTCTATCTGTCTATCTTCTATCTATCCGTACTCTGTAAAGCACTGTGAAGTGATCTATAAATCCAAGTGCTTCTGGGGCTCCCCTCCAGCTTCCTGGACCCCTGGATTATGTTGGGCCTTGACTCCCTTGCTATAAAACTGCTGCTCTGGTCACAAGCTCCGCCTCCACCTCCAGACCCCCCAGCGTGCAGCCGAAGGGATCTCTCGGCCAAACTCTCTGGCAAAAGGTGCATTCACACAGAACGTGATTCCCCCGGTTAATGAATGACTGGCCCATTTTCTCTGTGGGGAAACATCCAAGCCAACTTTTAACGGCCCAAACAAGCTCAGTGCTCTCAAATCCACCTGCTGGATGGCTACCTGTGTTGGTTAAGAGGGTTGTTCGAATGCAGCCACAGAGGCACCACGAGAGGCCAGGCACAGCACAGCCACACGGACCTCAGAGGACGCAAGCAACCCACCAACCAGAAATTGGACAACCGCTTGTCTGAAATGGCCCAGGGTCTCCTGCCTGAGGAGGGGGTTGGACTAGAGGACCTCCAAGGTCCCTTGTGTGACTCAACTCACCTGCGTCCCGCTGGAGGTTCCCGCGATGCGCATCTTCAAGATGGCCTGGATTTCTTCCTGCTGCTTCCTCATCTCCTCCTCGTCCACCTGCCAGGCGGAAGAAGGGAGAGAGAGAGAGAGAGAGAGAGAGAGAGAGAGAGAGAGAGAGAGAGATGGGGCCCAAGGGGCGAAGGCAGCTGACCCCTTGACAGACTCCCCACCACCCTGAGCCTCCCCCCCCCATCTCCTGTTCCAGGGTCCGGGAGGAACCCAATCCTGCAGCCTCAGAGAACACGGGGACGATCCCCTGTGGGGAGCGCCTGTGCAGACAGTCCTCGACTTATGACTTAGGGTCACTTAGCAATCGTTTGAAGTTACAATGGGCCTACCAGAGTTGGGCATCCCTCTCTGTGGTCACGTGACTACGTTTGACCACTTTTGGGATGAAAACCGGCACTGATTTCCGGTTTTCAGCAAAACTGTGCCCTTAACGAACCCTACCGGTTTGTTTAATGACCATGTCAGTAGCTCAATGATGGCAGATTCGCTTAACGACTGCTGCAAAAAAGGTCGTAAGAACAGATCAGTCATGTGACAGAACTATTTTACACTGTCATGACTAATAACCATGAGAGGCAGGGTCTGTTACGGTCATAAATCAAGGACCTCCTGTACAAGGATCCATTCCCTCTGGTTCTGATCGAGCTCCGATTCTGCAGGAGTGGGATGCCAAAGCCCACCCGATCCGGCCCTGCCCATTGGCCCACACCGTTCTTGGCCAAACCTACACTGAAGATCTCCATGTAGCATCTGATGAGGTCTTCCACCACTTGTCCAGCCTTGAAGTCCTTGCCGTCCGTCTGGAAGAGCGTTGGCCCAAAGACGATGGCCAGGTTGTGGGTAGTCATCTGGTTCTCGTCAGAAAAACATTGGATTCTGTGAAGGAGCCAATACAGAGCTGTGGAACATGGACCCCCATCCTTATGTGTCTGTCTAAGGAAGGGTCTACAGGAGGGGTGTCCAACCTTGGTCACTTTAAGACTTGTGGACTTCAACTCAAGAAGTTCAATTTCACTTTAAGATTTGTGGACTTCAACTCAAGAAGTTCAACCTCGCTTAAGACTTGCGGACTTCAACTCCGCAAATTCAACTCCACTTTAAGACTTGTGGACTTCAATTCAAGAAGTTCAACCTCGCTTAAGACTTGCGGACTTCAACTCCGCAAATTCAACTCCACTTTAAGACTTGTGGACTTCAATTCAAGAAGTTCAACTCCACTTTAAGACTTGTGGAGTTCATAAGTTCAACTTCACTTTAAGATTTGTGGACTTCAACTCCCAGGATTCTTTAGCCAGCATGGGCTGGCTGGGGAATTCTGGGAGTTGAAGTCCATAGGTCTTCAAGCGGTCAAGGTTGGACAACCCAGGTCTACAGGGAAGGTGGGGCCAGGAGAATACCCTTCCTTCCATCCCAGTCACAGAACCAACGCAAAGGATGGTTCAAAGAGCTGACTGTGTCTAGCCTAAAGAAGAGAAGGTTGAAGGTGTCAGATAGCAGTCTTCCAATTCTTGAAGGACCATCCCAGAGAAGAAGATATGGATTTATTCTCCATAATGCCCAAGGGTGGGACAAGAACCAACTGATGGAATCTTTAAAAAAATAGGTCCAAACTCAAAATAAGGAGGAATCTCCTAGAGCTACGAAGCAGTGGGACAACCTCCCTACTGAAGTTGCGGTGGTCCATCAAGAACTGGACAGGATGGTCTGAGGGTTCCTTCACCGGACAGGGGTTGGACAAGAAGACCTCTGAGGCCGTCCAGCCCTGGGAGTCTAACCTTCTGAGTCCAGAAGTAGGAGCCAAAAATCAAGGATTGTCCCACCCAAGAGAAACAGACTCTCCAGTTGCCTATCCCATGTCACCACTAACCGGTAGAGATGGTTGATTAGCACCTTCAGGGTGGCTTTGTTGACAACCGGAAGGCTGTTGAGAAGCCTACGGTAACGGCTGATCCTTTCGGTGGGGTCTTCCAGAGCTGTCAAGAGGAGCACAAGGCGGAGTCACAAAATCATCATCATCTTCTTTTAATGAACCCATAATCCCTTAGATCAGTGTTTCTCAACCTTGGAAGCTTGAAGATGGGTGGACTTCAACTCCCAGAATTCCCTAGCCCAGTGTTCCTCAACCTTGGAAGCTTGAAGATGGGTGGACTTCAACTCCCAGAATTCCCTAGCCCAGTGTTCCTCAACCTTGGAAGCTTGAAGATGGGTGGACTTCAACTCCCAGAATTCCCTAGCCCAGTGTTCTCAACCTTGGAAGCTTGAAGATGGGTGGACTTCAACTCCCAGAATTCCCTAGCCCAGTGTTCTCAACCTTGGAAGCTTGAAGATGGGTGGACTTCAACTCCCAGAATCCCCCAGCCAGCGCTGCTGGCTGGGGGTTTCTGGAAGTTGAAGTCCACCCATCTTCAAGCTACCAAGGTTGAGGAACACTGCCTTAGATTATAATGGAGCTGAGTGTTTACTGGCCGGATGCCTTTCCTGTTGCCAATGTGGAGTTTTGTTCAGCAGATCTATTCTCATTCTGCCCTAAGTAGGATCGAATTCACAGCCTCCTGATAGTGAGGCGAGAGCTCCACCTCTAAGCCACCGCACCATTCAAGGGAGGGGGTCATGAAAATGGCCCCATAAACTTCCTCCCACACCAGAGATACATTATGGGAGCCCACCTCACCGAAGTCCACATGGTCAGGAGAACCCAGCAGTTCCAGGCAAGGGAACAGCGCTTCCCTGCCAAAGGCCAAGAGAGCAAGGTGGACTATACAGGTGTACTGATGGATGGGGCCTGGGTGCCCCACCATTACAGGTGGTCCTCATCTTACGACCAAAACGAAGTCTAACCTTTCCGTTGCTAAGCGAGACAGTTCCATGAATTTTACCCCCTTTTTACGACCTTTCTTGCCACAGCTGTTAAGGGAATCACTGCAGTTGTTAAGTGAGTAACACGTTGTTAAGTGAATCTGACTTGACCGCAAAAGGGGAATCACATGACTGCAGGACACTGCAACCGTCATAAGTACATGCCAGTTGCTAAGAGTCTAAATTTCGGTCACGTGACCGTGGAGACGCTGCGACCGTCATAAGGGTGAAAGACGGGGGTAAGTCACTTTTTTCAGTGACGTTGCAACTTTGAACGGTCACTAAATGAACTGTCATAAATCAAGGGCTTCCTCTGTCTCATTTTTTTTCTTGAACAGCCTGCATTTTTCAGCTGTATGACACTGAACCAGCAGGGGGCGCAAGAGGGACATTTCAGGTATAGTCCTCAACTTACAACTACCAATGACTTCTGTCGCTAAGGAAGGCAGTCACTAAGCGAGTCATGCCAGATTTTGCATCGCCGTTGTTAAGCGAATCACCGCAAGCGAATAAGAGAATCACCCAGTCGTTAAGCAAATCTCCACTGTTGTTGGAAGCCGCCTGGGAAGGCCGCAAACGGCGACCACGTAACCCGAGGACACGGCACAAGACCCTGGGATGCTGCAACGGTCATAAGGGCGAGGACTGGTCGCAAGTCCGGGTTCCGCTGTGCCATTGTAACTTCAAGCGTTGGCTAAACAAATAGTCGTAAGTCTACACACCCGCTCCCCCTTTTACCGGGTACTTTGAGCCAGGCCTGGGCCGAGTCCTTGGTGAAGACCCCCTCCTGCAGGTCCCGGAAGAAGCGTTTGAGGGTGCTGGCCACGTCGTCCACCTGGTGGTCCTCTTCCTTCAGCCGGACCTTGCGGGCGTCTCTGCGGAGGGTCTCCAGCAGGCTGGTGGTCTTGGAGTTCTGCCCGCTCTTCCCGTAGATGCCCTCCGAGGTCAGTCCTGGGGGAGGAGGAGGAGGAGGAGGAGGAGATGAAGATCCCGCAAAGGGTTTACCACCAACCAACTACAGGTTGCAACTCAAGGGCATTGAATTCTTCTGATTTGAAATTATTCCTAGATTTCTGGTTGTTTCGACTTTTTATTGCAAGGTAAGTTGGTAAGTTGAATTTCTTTGGATAGCAAGGAAAGAAAGAAGAAAGAAAGAAAGAAAGAAAGAAAGAAAGAAGGAAGGAAGGAAGGAAAAGGAAGGAAGGAAGGAAGGAAGGAAGAAGGAAGAAGGAAGGAAATGGAAGAAGGAAGGCAGGAAATAAGAGGGTAAGAGACAAAGAGAGAAAGAGGGAGAGGAAAAGAGAGAAAGGGAAGGAAGGAAAGAAAAGACAAGGATGGAGGGAGGGAGGAATGTGAGGGAGAAGGAAGGAAAATAAAAGGAAGGAAGGAAGGAAGGAAGGAAGGAAGGAAGGAAGGAAGGAAGGAAGGAAGGAAGAAAATGGAAGGAAGGAAGAAAATGGAAGAAGGAAGGCAGGAAATAAGAGGTAAGAGACAAAGAGAGAAAGAGGAGAGAAAAAGAGAGAAAGGGAAGGAAGGAAAGAAAAGACAAGGATGGAGGGAGGGAGGGAGGAGATGTGAGGGAAGAAGAAGGAAAATAAAAGGAAGGAAGGAAAGAAGGAAGAAGGAAGGAAGAAAATGGAAGGAAGGAAGAAAATGGAAGAAGGAAGGCAGGAAATAAGAGGGTAAGAGACAAAGAGAGAAAGAGGGAGAGGAAAAGAGAGAAAGGGAAGGAAGGAAAGAAAAGACAAGGATGGCGGGAGGGAGGGAGGAGATGTGAGGGAGAAGGAAGGAAAATAAAAGGAAGGAAGGAAGGAAGGAGGAAAAGGAAGAAAATGGAAGAAGGAAGGCAGGAAATAAGAGGGTAAGAGACAAAGAAGGAGAAAGAGGGAGAGGGAAAAGAGAGAAAGGGAAGGAAGGAAGAAAGAAAAGACAAGGATGGAGGGAGGGAGGAGTAGGTAGGGAGAAGGAAGGAAAATATAAGGAAGAAGGAAGGAAAGAAAGAAAGAAAGAAAAAACAAGGAGGGAGGAAGGTATTGATGGAGAAGGAAGGAAGGAAAATAAAGGAAGGAAGTAAGGACTGAGAGGAAGGAAGGAAGAAAAGAGAGAAGGACGGAAGGAAAATAATTGGGGGCATCCCTTCCTCCCTTCCCCCCAAGGCGACCCCCCCCTACTTACCGCACTGTGTGATATAATCGATGCACCTGTCCACAAGGATGGGCACATCCATTTCGGTGAGTTGTTGTTCCGACAAGGTGTCCCCGGAGCTGCCAGCTGCTCTCTGGATGGCCCCCACCCAGCCCAAGAAGGTCAGCCGTCTCTCGCCCTGGATGTACAGCGTTCGGGAGGAGGAGGAGGAGGAGGAGGAGGAGGAGGAGGAGAGGAGGAGGAGGAGGAGGCAGGTCATGCCAAGGTGGTTTGGGTGGGATGTGGGAAACCCTTATTGGCAAGGCTGGAGAAATCACTTTTCCCTGCCACGCCAATCCTGGCAGGCCCTCATCTGGTCCTTCCCTCCCTTCCTTCCTTCCTTCCTTCCTTCCTTCCTTCCCTTCCTTCCTTCCATCCCTCTCCCTCCCTCCCTCCTCCTTCCTTCATTTTCTGTCCCCATCATCTCCCTTCCTCCTTCCTTCCCTCCCTCTCTCCCTCATTCTTCCTTCCTTCCTTTTCTTCTTTCTTCTTTCCTTCTTTCCTTCCTTCCCTCCCTTCCTTCCATTATTTTCTGTCCCCATCATCTCCCTCCCTCCCTCCCCCTCCCTCCTTCTTCCTTCCTTCCTTCTGAATAACATTGACTAAAAAAAAGTGAAAAGGTAAAATAAAACCCTGACTATTTTAATTTTAATTTCCTTGAAAGGATAGCCATCTTTACAAGTAGTCCTCGACCAACCACCCCAATTAGGACTGGAACTTTGGTTGCTAAGCGAGGCAGTCATTAAGTGAGCCACATCCAAGTTTACAGCCTTTTTGCCCTGCTGGGTGACTCACTGCAGTGCATGGTCGTTAAGTGAATCCAGCTGACTTTGCTTGTCAGAAGCCAGGGGACCACTTGAACCTGGACTCTGCCACCGTCATAAAGAGAGGCCAGCTGCCCAGGGCCCAAAGTTTTATCACGTGACTGCAGGGATGCGGCAACGGTCGCAAATGCGAGGACCGGTGGTAGGTCAATTTTTTTCAGCAGCATTGCAACTTTGAACCGTCGCTAAATGGACGGTTATAAGTTGAGGACTGCCTGTATTGTCCCTGAAAACTTCTTACCTTCTTCTTTCAACCAGCACAAGGACGTCATTTTCGAGGGCTGCAAAGCAAATATAAGAATTAATGGAGGGCGAGATCTGTACATTCATTCATTAACCACATTAGTATCTGGCATGCCAGATCCCACAGATCTACTAGGATCCCACTGAGCTTAAAGAGGATCCATTCTCAGCTCTGTTTACAGCAGCCCCCCCCCCCGTTCTGTGGGCGTGGCTTGGGGGTGGGTGGGTAATGTGACCGGGTGGGCGTGGCCAACTTTTTTTATTATTATTATTTTAACTTTTCAAAGCATTTTTTCTGCAAGTGCAAAAAAATGCTTTGAAAAGCCTCTGCCGATCAGGCAACACAGCCGGGATCCTCAGAGACTTTTCAAAGCATTTTTTAAACCACCTCTTCCACTGAAGAGGTTGCAGAAAAAAATCCTTTAAAAGCCTCTCTGGTGATCCCAGCTGAGTGATCATTTTAAAAAGTGCTTTGAAAAGTCTCTCGGACGATCAGGCAGCTCAACTGGGATCGTCAGAGAGACGACCCGGAAGAGGTGGCAGAAAAAAATGCTTTGAAAAGCCTCTGATGATCCCAGCTGAGCCGCGCGATCATCAGAGGCGTTTTTTTTTTTACTTTTAAAAGTATTTTTTCGTTGGAAGAGATTGTAGAAAAAATGCTTTTAAAAGTTTTTTAAAAAAAGCCTCTGATGATCACGCAGCTCAGCTAGGCATGGGGGGGGGGGGAGAGGGATTTTTGCCATCGGTTTCTCTGAAACCACCTGCCACCATTGCGGATCGGGCGATCCGGTCCGAAACCAGGAGCATTTCACCCCCTGCTAACAATCAACAATAACTACTTCCCTTCCTCCCCCCTCCCTCTCTCCTTCCCTCCTGTATCCTTCCTTCCTTCCTTCCCTCCCTCTGGACACGGCAGGGTGAAATGTGCCGGGTGAGTTGAAATTCTGGTCTCAGAATGAGGGATTTTTGTCTGTCGTCCAACCTGGATCGAGGGGGGGGGGGGGGCTCCTCTGAGACCACCCGCCCGCCCGCCTTGGGCAGAAAACGAGGCAGTCCTCCAGTTACGACCATCATGGAGGCTGCCCATTCCTCACGGTCGTGACTCATGCTGGATGTCAAAGGGCTCGGTCACGTGGCCGACCCGATTTTGCACCCTTTTCCCGGCGGTCGTTAAGTGAGCCGCCATGGCCGTTAAGTGAGCCAAGGCTTCCGAGCCGATTCAGCGGGTGGACTCACAGAGCTCCTGCAGCTTCCGCAGCTGGATGGCCTCCTCCTTGTCGCTGCCGTCCAGGAAGGCGTAGAGGGTGGAGCCCACCAGGGCGAACCAGCCCTCCTTGGCCTGCTCCAGGCTCAGGCCCCCCTTGTAGCGCAGACGCCCCAGGCGCTCAAAGTCCCCGGCCAGGAGCCCTTCGGCCGCCGGAGGGAGGAAGGCCTGCAGGGAGGGAGGGAGGGCTCAGGATGGGCAGCGCAGCCTCCCCACCAGGAGACCCCAGACCCTCCTTCCCATGGCCCCCTCTTTCGCCCTGGGTGGTAAAGGGAGACACCCCTTGCCCTTCCCTCTTCTGGAGCTCTACTGATGTGGTCACTAAGGGTCAGCTCCTTCCCTTCCCTCCATCCCTCCATCCCACCCTTCCTTCCTTCCTTCCTTCCCTCCCCTCTCCTTCCGTTCCTCCATTCTTTTCTTCCTCCCTCCCTCCTTCCCCTCCCTTCCCTTCCTCAATCTTTCTTCCTTTCTTCCCTCTCCCTTCCTCCTTCCCTCTTTCCCTCCTTCACCCCCACTCCCTTCCCTTCCTCAATCTTTCTTTCCTCCCTTCCTTCCCTCCCTCCTTCCCACTCCCTCCCTTCCTTCCCTCCTCCCCTTCCTCAATCTTTCTTCCTTTCTTCCCTCTCCCTTCCTCCTTCCCTCTCTCCCTCCTTCATTCCCCACTCCCTTCCCTTCCTAATCTTTCTTTCCTCCCTCCTCCCTTCCTTCCTTCCTCTCCTTTCCTTCCTTCTCTCCTCTCCTCTCCTTCCTTTTCTTTTCTCTTCCTTCCCATTCTCTCTCCTTCCTTCCTCCTCTCTTTTCCTTCCCTTCTTCCTCTCCTTTCCTTCCTTCTCTTTTCTCTCTTCCTTCCCATTCTCTCTCTTCTTCCTTCCTTCCTCCCTCCCTCCTCCCTCCCTCCTTCCCTCTCTCCCTCCCTCCTCCCTCCCTCCTTCCTTCCTTCCTTCCTCCTTCCTTCCTTCCCACTCCCTCCCTTCCTTCTCTTTTCTCTCTTCTTCCCATTCTCTCTCTCCTTCCTTCCTTCCCTCCCTCCTCCCTCCCTCCTTCCCTCTCTCCCTCCTTCCCTCCCCACTCCCTTCCCTTCCTAATCTTTCTTTCCTCCCTCCTTCCCACTCACTCTGTCCTTCCCTCTCTCCCTCTTCCCTCCCTCCCTCCCCATCTCTTTCGCACTGCAGGGGTCCCCAAGGCCGGCGCTGACCTTGGCCAGGCACTTGACCCACTCGCGGATGGCCTTGGCGTTGTCCAGGCCAAAGAGGTAGAGCCGCTCCGTCTCCGTGTACATCTCAAAAGTGTTGGCGTAGCTGGAAGGAGAGACCGGGAGAGTCAAGGCAGAAGGGGCCAAAGCAAGGAGGAGATCTGGGTCTGGGTCTCCCTGAGCTTGGCAACTTTCTTGCAGACATTTCATGACCCAGCTAGGTAACACCATCAGTGCTGATGGGTGTGGTCTCATGAACCAGTTACCAACTGTTCCAAGATACTAAGGAAACTAAGGACGCTTCCTCTCCAGCAGCCAATACCCAGAGAAGCAGGGATTAACACCAGACAAACAACCGAGCCAAATCAAGGCCACAGCTCCACTAACACAGGAAGGCAGAGGCCACAGTATGTAAACAGAGAGCGAACCTCACACTCCCTCGTGCTGAGGATGTTATCTAACTGGGTCATGAAACGTCTGCCAGAAAGCAATTCAGTTCAGAGAGCCCCAAGGTCCCCACGGTCCTCCTATCCCCCCCACCCACCCACTTCGAGCACTGATGATGTTCCCTAGTTGGATCCTGAAACGTCAGAAAACACTAAGGACCCCTCATGTCAACCCTGAGCTCTAGAGGTGGGGGTACCCCTATGCTCAGGTCAAGAGGCAGCCCTCCATCTCAAACCCCCCCCCAAATGGTCAGATCAAAAGTTCCCTGGCAAGAGGAGGCCCCCCACTCAGTTGCTTGCCTCCAACCCCCCTAGCCCCCCCACCCATCTCTCCTCCAGAGCCAGCCACTCCCAGGGTGAAGGAGAGGAGAGCAGGGACCCTGCACCCCACTGGGCCACCCCCTCTTCTCCTGGCCTGTAGGACCCCTTTAGGGAAGAGCTGACTGGGGCCCCATTTCCCCATGGGGGGGGCTTTTCAGGGGCCAAACTTCCAACTTGTCCCCCTAACAAACCATCAGCAAGACCTTCCAAGCCCCTCCCCCAGTAACAGCCCCCACCCCGAGAACTTTGGCCCTGCCCACCCCCTTCCTTCCCTTCCGTTCCATACGTCCTCTCCTTTTACCTATAGGTCAGTGTTTCTCAACCTTGGAAGCTTGAAGATGGGTGGACTTCAACTCCCAGAATCCCCCAGCCAGCGCTGCTGGCTGGGGGATTCTGGGAGTTGAAGTCCACCCATCTTCAAGCTTCCAAGGTTGAGAAACACTGACCTATAGGTAGTCCTCAACTGCAAGAGTTCGTTTAGTGACCGTTTGAAGTTACAAAGGCACCAGAAAAGGTGATTTATGACCATTTTTCACACTTATGACCGTCGCAGCATCCCCAGGGTCACGTGATCAAAATTCAGACCACATGGCCGCTGACTCAAACTTATGACGGTCGCAGCGTCCCGGGGTCACGAGATCCCCTTTGGCAACCTTCTTGCCAAAAAAAGTCAACGGGGAAGCCAGATTCGCTTAACAACCGTGTGACTCATTGAACGGCGGCCGTGGTTCCCTTAACAACGGTGGCAAGAAAGGTCGTAAAACGGGGCAAAACTCCTTTAATAGGATAGAATAAAGAATAACAGAGTTGGAAGGGACCTCGGAGGTCTTCTAGTCCAACCCCCAACTTAACAACTGTCTCGCTTAGCCACAGGAATTCTGGGCTGGATCGCGGTCATAAGCCGAGGACCGCCTGTATTACGCAACACACGGCGGCCCTTTTTCTAGGCCAAAGACATCAGTCTCCCTTCCCAGGGATGGAGGGGAGCAGCCGCCAGTCTCACCCGTGGGTGTCCGGAGGGTGAGTGGCCAGGCAGACGATTTCCTGCATCCGGATCTCTCCGTTGGGGACGGTGTGGGTGTTGGTCTCGTAGTAGTTGAAGACCCCCTCGTGCAGCTGGCACCAGCGGCGGCTGAACTCTGCACGGGGAGGGGAGGGGAGTCAGTGAAGGAGGAGGGGGCTTGTGGCTCTGACCCCGGGGGAGGGGGGACACTTGGGGACCCCAAAGGAAGGACGGAGCCCTTTCAGGTGAAGCCAAAATAAAGTTTCTGGACTGGGAAAAGAGTTTCCCCCTGGCAGATGTTCTCGGGGCGAGGGGGGCAGGAAGGAATCAGCCCCGAAAGAAAATCTCTTCCCCTTCCAGGGTCCCTGCCAATGGGGGACCAAGCCCCCCCCTCACTCCGAACAGGCTTTGCAACAGGACAGAGTCAACTTTGCATGCACTACGAATGGGGAAATTAGAACAACAGAGGGGGGGGGGGGGAGATAAAAGAAAAGAGAGAGAGAATGGGAAGGAAGAGAGAAAAGAGAAGGAAAGGAGAGGAGGGAGGGAGGGAGGGAGGGAGGGAGGGAGGGAGGGAGGGAGGAAGGAAGGAAGGAAGGAAGGAAGGAAGGAAGGAAGGAAGGAAGGAAGGAGAGGAGAATGGGAAGGAAGAGAGAAAAGAAAAGGAAGGAGAGGAGAGAAGGAAGGAAAGGAGAGGAGAGGAGAGGAGAAAGAAGAAGGAAAGAGAGAGAGAGAGAGAATGGGAAGGAAGAGAAAAGAGAAGGAAGGAAAGGAGAGGAGGAAGGAAAGGAGAGAATGGGAAGGAAGGGAAGGAGAGAGAGGAGGAAGGAAGGAAGGAAGGAAGGAAGGAAGGAAGGAAGGAAGGAAGGAAGGAAGCAAGAAAAGAGAAGGAAGGAAAGAAGAATGGGAAGGAAGGAAGGAAAGGAGAGGAGGAAAGAAGGAAGGAAGAGAGAAAAGAGAAGGAAGGAAAGGAGAGAATGGGAAGGAAGAAGGAAAGGAGAGGAGAGGAGGAAGGAAGGAAGGAAGGAAGGACTCTTCCCTTTCTTTTCCTGGGCTTTATTTTGTGCAAACACCCGGAGGGAAGCCCCACCGCTCCACCCCCTTCCCCCTCCCCGAGTGCTTCGCCTGACCTTCTCGGGACTTGCGTTCGAGAGCCAGCTTGGCCATGGAGGGCGTCTTGTAGAGGAAGCCATTGTGAGCCACGGAGAGCAAAATGACCGAGTAGCACCTGTCGGAGTTGGTGCCAGCGTCCAGCTGGGGGGTCTCTGAGGAGACAAGACACAGCAAAAGAGGGGCCAATGGATATTGGGCAGGGGGCCGAGGCTGCTGGAGGAAACTCAGCCACTTGTGGACTTCAACTCCCAGAATTCCCCAGCCACCATGAATGATAGAGTTGGAAGAGACCAGAAGGGTCATCTAAGTCCTGTATTTCTCAACCTTGGGGACTTTCAGATGTGTGGACTTCAACTCCCAGAATTCCCCAGCCAGCTGGCTGGGGAATTCTGGGAATTGAAGTCCACAAGTTTCAAGTGGCCAAATTCGGAGACCCCTGCCTCAAATCATCAGATCCAGCTGTCAGATTGCTTCCCAGTCCACTAACTGGGCTGTTCCTGCTTTTATATCTTGCTAAGGCCGGGCAGCCAAATTCAACATCCCAAGCGGCTGGAAGGAGGGAGGGAAGGAGGGGAGAACAATGAAAACCAGATGTTCCACTAACAAAACAGCCCTCCAGGTTTCCCTCCTCCCCGAAAGCCCGTCTGGTTTTTCAGTCTGTCTCTTCTCCCATCAACAGTTGCCGCCCTTCTTCGGTTTGGAAGAGACCCCTTTAACCCTCCCAATCGCTCTGAAAATAAAAGGGGCGGGGGGGCTTCCCAACAGGCCAAGGGATGGGCCGATCTCCTGCAATGAACTGATGTTTTAATGCTTTTTATGGTTTTAAAGCCTTTTAACTGCTTTTATTATTGTCTTGAAGACTTTCATGGTAATGTGTGCTTGGAATGGTAAGCTGCCCAGAGTCGCAGGGGGTTGGACTAGATGACCTCCAAGGTCCCTTCCAACTCTGTTACTGTTCGCTGAGATGAGCAGACATAGAAATCAAATCAAACCCAGTCAATCAATCAATCAATCAATCAATCAATCAACAAATTATGGCCAACTAGGAAGGATCAGTCCAGGAATTTGACAGCTTCTCTAGGGATCTGAATTCCTGCTTTTGACCCAAAAGGGAGCAGAGAAGCCCAGAGGTCGGGGGAGCGCTGGCTGCTTATTTGGGGATGGGGTCTTCTGCTCGAAAAGGAGGCCAACCCCCTTCCTTGCAAACATCCCTGCACAATTTTTTTAACTTCCTGATGAACCCCATGTCTTGCCAGGAAGCTGAAGGAACAGGGTAGTTGCATTTGAGTGACTCACAAAACACCCCACCACAACGGAGCTTTTTTTTCGCTGCTGGAAATTTCTCCCCGAAGGCCAGGAAAGGCCTACACACCCTGCATTCTTTCCTTTCCACGTTTCTGTGGTTGGAGATCCATGCGGGAAAGGAGAGAAAGTGTCGGTTCTCAGAAAGAAGAGATAAGGATGGTCTCCAGTCCAGCTGGGAAGAGATTTTCCTCTGAACTTTTTTTCTGAGCTGGTTTTTCAAATTCGCAGGCAGGTCTATAGCCCTAGGATCTTCTGGCGGTCTTCCATCCATCAATTAACCAGGGTCAGTCAATGAATCAATAAATCAGAATAGAGCTGGAAGGGACCTTGGAGGTCTTCTAGTCCAACCCCGTGCTCAAGCAGGAGACCTTAGACCATTTCAGACAAGTGACTCTTGTTTCTTCTTGAAAGCCTCCAGTGTTGGAGCATTCACAACTTCTGGTGGCAAGCTGTCCCACTGGTTAACGGTCCTCACTGTTAGGAAGTTTCTCCTTAATTCCAGGTTGCTTCTCTCCTTGGTTAGTTTCCATCCATTGTTTCTTGTCCTGCCCTTCAGGAGTTTTGGAGAATAGGTGGACCCCCCCCCTCTTCTTTGGGGCAGCCCCTCTAATACTGGAATGCTCCTCTCATGTCCCCCCTAGTCCTTCTTTTCTCTAGACTGGTCAAACCGAAATCCTGCAAGGGTTCTTCCTATGTTTTAGTCTCCAGGCCTTTAATCCTCCTAGCTGCTCTTCTCTGCACTTTTTCCAAAGTCTCAACCTCTTTTTTGTACTGTGGGGACCAAAACTGGATGCAGGATTTCCAGGTGTGGCCTTGTTAAGGCTTTATAAATTTATAAATCACGTGAAGTCTTTATAAATAAAGACTTTGATTCAATGCCTCTGTTTACACAACCAAGGATTGTATGACTTCGAAAATCACTCAATTGCAAAAGGCAGCTTTGCTTGGAACAGCTGACATCCTCTGAGGATATTTCACACCACCCAACCATCACATCTGCCCCTCCAAGGTCCTCGGGAAGGACTTGATAGGAGATGGATAAAAATGCCCCATCCAGCCTGAACATCTGGTTGACTGGGCCACCAACTATAATAACGTGCCAAAGGCTCAGGATTTGCTTCGTTCTTCTCCATTCGGCTGAGAAGTCTCGAAAGGACCACCCAAAAGGCTGCAAATCACTCCTTGAGCCCCGAAAAGCCCACCATTGACCTCCCCCCACCTTCCAACTCCCTTCTGGGACCTGGCAGCCCATCCAGAGGCCAGGAAGACCCCGTATTCCATCGGCTGCAACCTCTGGGCTTCAGGATGCCACGAGGTGAAGTCTTGGCCTGCCCTGAAGCCCCTCAAGGAGGGGTATTCACCCCCTCTTCCCTCCAGCCCCACTTCTTTTCCAATTTGCATCCCCCCCACACACACACAGCCCTTACCCACCCCCCACCCCCTTACCTGAGGTCTTGTTCTGCAGCAGGAACTCCATCTGCAACCTCTGGGCAGCCTGCTCCGCCAAGGCCAGGGGGGTGGGATAATCAGGGTCTCCGGAGTAGCAATTCACTTCAGCCCCGCAGAAGAGCAGAGAGAGGGTCTCGGCCAGGTCACTGGTGGTCACTGCCGTGCACAGGGCCTGCGGAGGGAGGGGAGAAGAGCTCAGGTTCAGACCGAGAACCTCAGATCTGGGATCCACTAGTGAAGCCGGGCAGCGCCAGGGGAGAGAATACAGAGTCGGAAGGGACCTTGGAGGTCTTCTAGTCCACCCCCGCTACCCGAGCAGGAGACCAGGACGGTGGTGAAGACGAAGGAGGAGACACAGAGAAGGAAGCAGGATGACTGGCTCCTGGATGAAAGTCCAGCGTCTCTGCACCGGCCAGCGGAGCAGAGGGTGGAGAGAGGCCGAAGGGCGAGGATCCGGCAAAGCCGGTCCCAGTTCTTTGGCTCTGCTGGAGCGCAGATGCTGACAACATCTGGAGGAGGCAGCCAAGAACCGCTCCCACCCCCAGATTGGCCGGCAGTCGGAAAACCCGGAGCCCAAGAGCCAAATTTTCTGGGCTGCAGCCGCCCTCGCCCCGGGGGGCCTGAGGATGCCGTTGGAGAGAGAATTCTTCCGCCCAACCGGAGGTCAGCTGCCCTTCTGGATTGGGCCCTCCAGGGACCCCTGAGGGAGGGGAACACACCCACCATAAATAAGCCCCTTCCGGGGCTCTTCAGCACCAGCCTTCCCCCTCCCCCAGATGGGGCAGATGTCGTGAGTCAAAAACTTCCTCTCTCTTTCCGGATCCAGCTTCCTGTTGTTTTGCTAAGGCCCTGCCCGCCTTCAAGGTTCTAGTCCTCAGTTTCACAGCTGCTTTCTTAGCCACTGCAGCCTCCTGCCTCACCTATGGGTCGCTATTGACCCTAAGCACACCTTCCTTGCCTCTCTCCCCACCTGCCCCTTCTCGGGGGTCCTGTCCTAGGGGAGCATTTTGCCACTCAGGGGGGTTCTGAGTTCGAGTCTTTCACCTGCTGCTTTTGCCAAATCTGCCTTTCCGGCCCCTTCCAGGAAGGGCTAGAAGGGAATGGCAGGAGTTGAATCCCCTGCCGAAGGAGGAACCAGGTTATGGGGGAGGGGGAGGGCAGAGGGCCGATGGGTGGGGAGGCAGGTGTGGGGGGGGGGGGGGGCTAGAGGGGGTTAATTTTCAGGCAGGCAATTCCTGCTCAGAGTTGCTGTTCTTGGCACCCTGAACAAAGGCTCTGCCCACAATCACAAAAATGGCTTTTTTCTTCCAATTTCCTGCAAAACCGGTTTGGTCAACAGAAAAAGGAGGAGAAGGAATTTGAGAAAAGGATGTTTTCTCTCCTCAAGAGCCTGAGGGGGGAGGGATTTTTTTTTCCCACCCACCCCCTTCAGAAACCGGCCTCGTTTTTTCCTCTTTTGCAGGATCAGGTCTCCAACGTTGATGGAAATCATAGAATAATAGAATCCTTCCTTCCTTCCTTCCTTTTCTCTTTCTCTCTCTTTCTTTCTTTCTCTCTTTCTCTCTCTTTTTCTTCCTTCCTTCCTCTCCCTCCCCTCTCTCCTCCTCTTCTATCCATCCATCCTTTCTCTTTCTCTCTCCTTTTCTTCCTTCCTTCTTTCCTCCTTACTCTCCCTACCCCTCCCTCTCCTTCCTCCCTCCCTCCTTTCTTTCCTTCCTTCCTTTTCTTTCTCTTTCTCTCTTTTTTCTTCCTTCCTCTCCCTCCCCTCCCCTTCCCCTTCCTCCCTCCTTCCTTTTCTCTTTCTCTCTCTTTCTTTCTCTCTCTCCTTTTCTCCCTTCCTTCTTTCCTCCTTACTCTCCCTATCCCTCCCTCCTCCTCCTTCCTTCCTTCCTTCCTCCCTTTCCTTCCTTTCCTTTTCTCTTTCTTTCTTTCTCTCTCTCTTTTTATTCCTTCCTCTCCCTCTACCTCCCCTTCCTTCCTTCCATCCATCCATCCATTCTTTCTCTTTCTCTCTCCTTTTCTTCATTCTTTCCTCCTTTCTCTCCCTACCCCTCCCTCCTCTTCTGTCCTTCCTTCCTTCTTTCTTTCCTTCCTTCTTTCCTTCCTTCCTTCCTTCCTTCCTTCCTTCCTTCCTTCCTTCCTTCCCTCCCCTTCCTTCCTTCCATCCATCCATCCATCCTTTCTCTTTCTCTCTCCTTTTCTTCCTTCTTTCCTCCTTTCTCTCCCTACCCCACTCTCCTCTTCTGTCCTTCCTTCCTTCCTTCTTTCCTTCCTTCTTTCTTCCTTCCTTCCTTCCTTCCTTCCTTCCTTCCTTCCTTCCTTCCTTGCCCCAGATGTTGCAACCATCCTAAGTACATGCCAGTTTCCAATCGCCACGAATTCTGATCCTCCGGCCACCAACCTTGTTGAGTTCCTCCTGGTTGCCGAAAAGAGGGTGATACCGCCGGTATTTGCCCTCCCGGTATTTGGCGATCAGGAAATGCCTCCGTTCCTGGCTGTGGCTCTCGGGGGCGATGGTTTCGCTGGGGGGCACGTTGGCGGCCCAGAACTGGTTGGCAACCACGTTGCCAATCTGGAGGAAGAGCTGGGAAGGGGAGAAGGAGGAGGAGAGATTAAGGCCGTCAGGAGTCCAGGATCTCCATTCTTTGTGATTCTAACAGATGAACAGAGTTGGAAGGGATCTTGTAGGTCATCTAGTCCAACCCCCCACCCACGCAGGAAACCGTACACCATTTCTGGCAGACGGCAGTCCAGTCTCTTCTTGAAAGCCTCCAGCGATGAAGATTCCCACCCAGAGCCCCAACCTCGTCCTCTCCTTTTAGTACTTTACAACTTACAACAATTCGTTTAGTGACCATTCAAAGTTACAAAGCGGTACTGAAAAAAAGAGACTTATGACCTTAGGGGTTTTTTTTCTCACTTAACGACCATTGCAGCATCCCCCTGGTCAGGTGATAAAAATTTGGGCGCTAAGCAACTGGCATGTATTTAACAGAATAACAGAGTCGAAAAGGACCCTGGAGGTCTTCTAGTCCAACCCCCTGCTCAAGCAGGAGACCCTATACAGGGTAGTCATCAATGTACGGCCACAACTGAGCCCCAAATTTATGTTGTTAAGTGAGAAATTTGTTAAGTGAGTTTTCCTTTTACGACCTTTCTTGCCACCGTTGTTAAGTGAAACACTGCAGTTGTTAAGTGAGTCACACGGTTGTTAAGTGAATCTGGCTTTGCTTGTCAGAAGGTCACCAAAAGGGATCACGTGACTCTGGGACGCTGCGACCGTCATAAATGCAGTTTCCATCCATCCTGCTGTTTACACGGCAGTGTTTTGGGGAAAATGCTGCCCCCCCGTGGCTGCTTCTGTCCATTGCAAGGATGAAAAGCAGCCCCTTTTCTCAAAAAAGTAGAAACTTCAGTTTGCAGAGACAAACCTCCCTCCTCCTCTTTGCTCCATAACAACAACCCTGTGAGGTGGCTTGGGTAGAGAGAGAGGGACTGGCTCGAAGTTTCCCAGCCAGCATTCATGCCTAAGGCAGGACTAGAACTCACCGTCTCCCACTTTTTAGCCTGGTGTCTCTAACCACTAGTCCAAACTGCCTCCCTTGCCTCAGTTTACCACCCTTCTTGCCCCCGAAGCCTTCAGGATAGGCAGAGCCCAGGTCTTGACACAGGCCTCCCCCAGACGCTCCCTTGCCCCCAAGGGAGGACATCTGCCCAGGCCACCGGAGAGGAGGTCCTTGTGCACCCCCCTCCTGACCGATACCTCAATCAGCTCCTCCGTCCAGACCTTCTTGTCCATCTTCAGACTCCGCACCTTGGTCACGCTGGGTCCCAGCCCCCGATGTTCTCCTGGGTGGGGAGGAAGGGGGGAAGCCATCTGGTCATAAGCTTAGAAGGGGGGAAGGGGTTGGGCAGACTGGCTTCCCCTTAACAAGCTCAGAAGCAGGGGGGTTCCTCTTTTCACACTGGGTAGATTCTCCCAGGGAGCTTAGCCCTACCTTGACTGGGCATGCCCCACTGCGAGGGACAAGGTGGCACATGAGGCTGCCCAGCTAAAAGGGAGAAGGTGGCTTAACCTCCCTCTTAAGGTGGTGGCCCCAAGAAGGGCCTTTTCTGTGGTGGCTCCCTCCCTGTTGCTTGAAGGACCATCTTTTCCCAGTCATATCTACCTGTCCCACCAAAGTGGGGAGGCAGGAGATGTTAGGAGTCCCCTCCCTTAAGGAAGCCCATCTTGTGGGACCTAGAAGAAGGGCCTTCTCCGTGGTGGCTCCTTCCCTGTTGCTTGAAGGACCATTTTTTCCCCAGTTACATCCACCTGATCCACCAGAATGGAGAGGCAGATGTTATGAGTCCCCCGTCTTTAAGGAGGTCCATCTGGTCGGATCGAGAAGAAGGGCCTTCTCCACTGTGGCTCCCTCCCTGTGGAACATCATCCCTGTGGAGATAAGACTGGCCCCCACCTTCATCCTCTTTCGAGAGGCCCTGAAGACGTGGTCTTGCCAATGGGCATAGAGATCCCTCAGAGGGATACGGAGCCCATCAAGGGGTTGGAGTGATTGTTCTCATCAGGACGGAGGCGTTAGTGACATTTGCACTGGGGGTTTAAGCCCCTCAGAGTCACTGTGAGTGAGTTGCGTGGCTGTATTAAATGTTATAAATAACTAAACAAACAAATCACAACTCCTATCCCACTAGCGGTGTGGAGTCCTCGGTGGTCTCTGAGCTTGGTGGTTTCCTTGCAGATGTTTCATGGCCCAACTAGGTAACATCATCAGTCCTATCATCATCATTCATTAGTGCTGATAATGTTCTCTAGTTGGGTCATGAGACATCTGCCTGAAAACCACCAAGCTCAGAGACCCCTCTGAGAAGGAGGAGAAGGACCCCTCCTTCTCCTCCTCTTTTTCTTCCACTCAGAAAACCCTCCTCCCTTCTAGCACTGATGAGGTTCCCTAGTTGGGCAATGCAACATCTCACAACAACCACAAAGCTCAGGGAACACCAAGGACCCCACAGTTCAACCCTGAGCTACAAATATTCTCTTCCGTTGGTACATTTTCAATAGTTCCTGTAGTCCTGGAGGAGAAAGACGGGGACCTTACCTTAAGAGGTGGACTACAGGGATTGAAGGAGGAGACCAGGTGTATTCAGCACCATAAAATGATCCTTCTACCTAGCCCAATATTTCTCAACTTCAACAGTTTTAAGATGGGTTAGACCACAGGTCTTCAAACTTGGCAGCTTTAAGATTTGGGGACTTCAACTCCCAGAATTCCCCAGCCAGAATGGGTGGACTTCAATTCCCAGAATTCAACTCCCAGAACATCAACTCCCAGAATTCCCCAGCCAGCCAGATCATTCTTGCAGAGGTCTTCAAACTTGGCAGCTTTAAGACTTGGGGACTTCAACTCCCAGAATTCTCCAGTCAGCTGGGAGTTGAAGTCCCCAAGTCTTAAAGCTGCCAAGTTTGAAGACCTCTGGATTAGACCTCAACGCCCAGAATTCTGGGAATTGAAGTCCACTCATCTTACAAGGGTTGAGGTTGAGGAACACAATTCTACCCAATTCATTAATGTGGATTAAGATTAAGGGAACCTTGGACAAGGCTGGACCACAGTTAAGTCCAGGCAGATGATGGGAAATTCAACCCCTTCATCTCTCTTGATCATCGTACAAGGTGGCATCTCCCAACCTTCCATCCAGCCGGTGGTGGTGGTCCTACCTGCACATTGCTTGCAGATGACCACACAGAGGTTGATGGAGGCCCAGTCGGGCTTGGGAGCCCCACAGTCGGCGCAGAAGCAGTTGTCCTTCGAGGCCCAGATCTTCTCGGCCACCTCAAAGTTGGAGAGGGCCTCGGCCACCGACTGCTGCATGGCCTCCACCCACAGCTCCTTCTCCTGGTCGGACTCAGCCATGAAGCTGGGAGGGAGGAAGAGAAGGTGAAGGGTTAGTCAACCGCTTTGTAAGGCCGTGGTAAGACCACATCTGGAATACAGGTTAGTCCTCGACTTACGACCACAACTCAGCCCAGGATTTATGTTGCTAAGCGAGACAGTTGTCAAGGGAGTTTCGCCCCCATTTTACAACCTTTCTTACCACGGTTGTTAAGTGAATCACTGCAGTCGTTAAGTGGGTCACATGGTCGTTAAGCAAATCCGGTTTTCCCCTTTACTTGGCTTGTCAGATGATCGCAAAAGGGGATCGCGTGACACACACACACCCCCGGGACACTGCGACCGTCATAAATATGAGTCAGTTTGCCAAGCCTCTGAATTTTAACCACGTGCGTGGGGATGCTACAGTGGTCGTAAGTGTGAAAAACGGTCCTAAGTCACTTTTTTCAGCGCCGTCGTAACTCCGAATGGTCACTAAACGAACTGCTGTAAGGCGAGGATTACCTGCCCCTAACCCCGTCCCACAGAAAGGAGGGTGAGGGATCCCAAGGGCAAGGAGGGAGAGGGAAAGGGCCACTGCCCTCTGCGTGGGGGTCTCCCACGTAGGAACCCAGGAGACTTGGCAGATCCCTCAGGATCAAGTCCCTGCCGTTAACCAGAACTAAATCCTCTTGGATCTGTCCGAGATCCCTACCTGAAGATCCGGTAAGGTGTGGTCAGATCAAAGCACCTTCGGTCCACGTCTTTCACGTTTCCCACGTTCATCTCGATGTAGGTGATGCCAATCCCCAGCCGGAATTCCTGCCCCAAGACACACACACACCAGGGTTACCCACATGGGAAGGAGAGGGGCTCAAGAGAGAGAGAGGAAAACTAAAGACAGGGGTGCAAAGCAGAACAATAACAGAATGACAGAATTGGAAGGGACCTTGTAGGTCATCTAGTCCAACCCCACACCCAAGCACCCCCAAACTGCCTCTCAAGCACCCCATTTTACACCTGGGTGGAAAGCAGCTTCCTCGACTCTGAAGCCAACTCTCCAAGGCTCTGGGGTGTTTTTGTGTGTTTTGTTTTTCAAGAAGCGTTTGGAGTTCAAAAGCCCATTTCAACCTCAAAACACCCTGATCAAAAATCAGCCAATTTCGAACTCGGAACCCCACACTTGGAAGGCAAATGGCCTCCGTCTGAGATATGACTGGGGTTTGCATTGGGGTTTTATTTGGCAACAGGTCACCGTGAATGAGTTGGGCGGCCCCCGTAAATATTCTTAATAAATAATAATAAAGAATGCATTCTGCCTGCCCCCAGAAGGGGCCCTGAAGGACATCTAGTCCAACAGCATTTTGCAAATGGTCTGAATTATTGAGTTTTTAAATTTTATTATTTATTTATTTCTTACTGAAGTTTTATTTTTGTAATCCATCAGGAGTCACCGTATGTGAGTTGGGCAGATAATTTTTTAAAATAAATAATAAGAAATGCATTCTGCGTGACCCTAGAAGGATCCTGTAGGTCAGGGGTCTCCGAGACTTGTGGACTTCTACTCCCAGCATTCCTCATGGCTGGCTGAGGAATGCTGGGAGTTGAAGTCCACAAGTCTTAAAGTTCCCAAGCTTGGAGACCCCCCTGCTGTAGGTCATCCAATCCAACAGCATTTTCCACCTGGACTGAATCGGAAATATTTGCTTGTCCCCTGAAGGGGTCCGTTAGGTCATCCAGCCCAACCCCAACCTGGTTGCACAAGATTTCTTCCTTTCTACCGCTAGGACCATCCACAAACCTCGGCATTCTTGTAGAGGAAGACCTTCTCCCCAGCCACGGCCACGTAGAGCTTGCTTTTAAAGCCCCTCAACTCCAGGGGTCCACTCTTGTCCACGGAGTCAAGGCTGCTGCCGGCCGGCTGCAAACGGGGCGTTCTGTGAAGGCACCTGGACTTCTTTTCGTCCACCATCTTCTGCACGGCCTTGATCCATTCATTGCGTTCAGCTGCCAGGGGGAAGGAGGACAGGTAGGGTTACAGAATCACAGAGTTGGGAGGGACCTTGGAGGTCTTCTAGTCCATCCCCCTGCTCAAACAGGAAACCCCTAGACCATTTCAGACAAAGGGCTGTCCAGTCTCTTCTTAAAAACCTCCAATGAGTTTCTAGATCCAAGTTGTTCCACTGGTTAATTGTTAATTGTCAGGAAATTTCTCCTTAGGTTAGGAGGCCTCCAGGAAGATTATTTGGGGCAAGACCCCAAAACAAAGACTGGGATGGTTTTTGGAGTCTAGGACCCCAAAAGTGTAATTCAGAATAGGAATTCTGGTCACTGTTAGGATATGGTTTGAGCCTAACTAGTTGTTCAGGCAATATATGTGTACTGTAACTTTAATCTGAAAATGTATTATGTGACTTTAAAGTTTTACTGCTGATTCATTGTAATGCTGAGTCATGCTGTAATTAGTTAAAAACGTATTTAAGAAAGAAACTGTAACGTATTCAGTTGATGATAAGCTACCATTGTGTGAGGAATTGCTTCCATTGTGCTATCATTGGTTGGATGGATCTGCTACCATCGTGGTTTGTGAACCAGAGTGAGTTTGTTATTCTAACCAACTACAGTTTGTGTGGTAAGAAGAGTTCTTGTATCGCTGGACTGATTTAACTGGCAAAGACTTGGATTGATTTAAAGACTATGAGATTGTTTTTTCCACTATAAAGTAAACTTTTGATAAACCAGTTTGCACATCTCTTATTCATTGCTCTCAGCAACGTTTCTCTGTGCTCTACACTCTGCTGGTTGGTAAGACAGCAACAATATCCTTAACAGTCACCATGATACAAAAAAGCAAATTAAATACCCAGACAATACAATGTTTATTAAGCACTAAGGAATGTAATTAATAGAACATTAATAAAAAAAATTAAAAAGATGTTGAGACTCTAGAAAGGACGCAGAGAAGAGCAACAAAGATGATCAGGGGACTGGAGGCTGAAACATACGAAGAACAGTTGCAGAAATTGGGTATGTCCGGTTTAATGAAGAGAAGGACTAGGGGTGACATGATAGCAGCCTTCCAGTATTTGAGGGGCTCCCCCAAAGAAGAGGGAGTCAAGCTATTCTCCAAAGCCCCTGAAGGCAGAACAAGAGGCAACGGATGGAAACTCATCAAGGGGAGAAGCAACTTAGAACTAAGGAGTAACTTCCTGACAGAACAATTGAGCCTGGATAGCTCAGCAGACTAATGCATTGTAATTTAACTCCAGCTGCCTGCAATTACTGCAGGGTTCGAATCTTACCAGGCTCAAGGTTGACTCAGCCTTCCATCCTTTCAAAGGTAGGTGAAATGAGGACCCAGTTTGTGGGGGCAATAAGCTCACTTTGTATAAATATACAAAAGAATGAAGGCTATTGCTTAGCGCATTGTAAGCCGCCCTGAGTCTCCGGAGAAGGGCGGCATATAAATCAAATTAAAAAAAAAAAAAACAATTAACCAGTGGAACAGAAGTTGCCTCCAGAAGTTGTGATTGTTCCATCACTGGAGGATTTCAAGAAGAGATTGGACAACATTTGTCCAGAACCCAAAGATGCTTTTTCAAGAGGCAACTGGACTTTCCTTGTTTTTTCTTCGAAGACGTTTCACTTCTCATCCAAGAAGCTTCTTCAACTCTGAGTGGATGATGGGGAAGAAGAAATCAGAGCTGAAGAAGCTTCTTGGATGAGAAGTGAAACGTCTTCGAAGAAAAAACAAGGAAAGTCCAGTTGCCTCTTGAAAAAGCACCTTTGGGACAACCAGGACCTGGGTGACGGAGAATCTCCATAGATATTTGTTCAGAATGGTGTAAGATCTCCTGCTTGGACAGGGGGTTGGACTAGAAGACCTCCAAAGTCCCTTCCAGCTCTAAGATTCAATGCTCTATGATGTTTGGATGAGAACATTGAGCGTTTATTCCACCCAATGCCAGAGCCACAAGGAGAACATCAACGCATCTTCTGGTTCTCCCACCAGAGAAATGACCCACAATCGGCAAACCTCCATATTTACCATCGCTCTCTGCCCGGAAAGCAAACGTCCGATTGTGGGTGATAACTTCAAACTTCTGGTCCCCGATGCTGGAGACTTGGGAGATGGAGGCCACCAGGATGAAGCGCTTGGAGTAAACATCCTGCAGAGGAGAGAGAGGGGAAGGATGGGGGAACCCAGAGGTGCTCAGTCTGTGCCCCCTTTCTCTAAGACAGACAGGAAGAGGAGACAACGCTAAATTCCCAGAGCGTCCCGTCTTCTGTCCATAATAGAACACCCTATGCCAGTGGTTCTCTCAATCTTTTCTTCGCCACGGACCCCCTTTAAATGCCCTTAGTGGGCACGAACCCCTAAACAGTTTTTCAAGCCTTCACAGACTCCCTGTGATGATATTGCCCCCCCACAGGGAGGAAGGGAGAAAAAGAAGGGGAGGGGAGGGAAGGGGACGGTGGGGTGGGAAGAGGAAGGGGAGCAGGAGTGGGAGGGGGAGGGAAGGGAGAAGAAGAGGAAGAGGAGGAGGAAGAGGAGGAGGAAGGAAGAGGAAGAAAGAAAAAGAAAGAAAGAAAGAAAGAAAGAAAGAAAGAAAGAAAGAAAGAAAGAAAGAAAATGGAGAGAGAGGGAAGGAAGGAAGAAAAGGAAGGAAGGAGGGAGGGAAGGGAAGGGAGAGGAGAAGGAAGAGGAGGAAGGAAGAGAAAGAAGGAAAAGAAAGAGAGAGAGAGAGAGAGAAAGAAAGAAACAAACAAACAAACAAAATGGAGGAGGAGGGAGGGAGAGAAGGAAGGAAAGAAAGAAAAAAGAAAAAGAAAGAGAGAAAGAAAGAAAGAAAAAGAAAGAAAGAAAGAAAAGAAAGAAAGAAAGAAAAGAAAAGAAAAGGAAAAAGAAAAGAAAGAAAGAAAATGGAGGGAGGGGGAAGGAAGGAAGGAAGGACAGAAGGAAGGAAGGAAGGAAGGAAGAGGGAAAGAAAATGGAGGGAGGGGGAAGGAGGGAAGAAAAGGAAGGAAGGACGCAGGGAGGGAAGGGAAGGGAAGAAGAGGAGGAGGAGGAGGAAGAGGAGGAAGGAAGAGAAACAAGGAAAAGAAAGAGAGAGAGAGATAAAGAAAGAAAGAAACAAACAAAATGGAGGGGGAGGGAGGGAGGGAAGGAAAGAAAGAGAAAGAGAAAGAAAGAAAAAAGAAAAAGAAAGAAAGAAAGAAAGAAAGAAAGAAAGAAAGAAAGAAAGAAAAAGAAAATGGAGGGAGGAGGAAGGAAGGAAGGAAGAAAAGAAAGGAAGGAAGGAAGGAAAGAAGGAAGGAGAGTCATATACAGCCCTCCCCATCCGCCGCTTCCTTCCCCGCTTACCTTTTCAGTATCAAAGTAGCGGAGGTAGTCACCGTCCAACTTCACCCAACGCTTCTGGTAGATGTAGGACCTGCAGCCAGAGAACGCCGTCAGCTGCCAAGCCCAGAGACCCAGCGGGGCCGGGGGGTTCTCCCTGCTCGCCAGACCCGCTCAGGTTCCTCCCCGTGACCCACAGGGCAGAGGGCCCCGCTGGAGAAAGGACCAGGGGACGTTTGAGTTGGAGGGGCCGAAGACGACCTGCTCACCCTTGCGGGGGGTTCTTGTCCAGCCAGCCGGCTTTGACCACCGCGGGCGAGAGCGGAGAGGAGGGCCCTGCGCTCTGCATGCCACCGCCGTCACCATGGATGCCCGACAACACGCCGAAGGGCAGAGCGCTGGTGGCAGGGGAGGGGCTCAGCCTGGCATCCCAGTGGCTGCTGCGGTGGGAGGGGAAGGGAAGGGAAGGGAAGGGAGGGGAGGGGAGAAACCAGAACAGCTGCTATTAGCCAACCACTTTGAACCCCGCGCACCCCAGCCCTGCAGAAGGGGGCAAGCCGGGGGGGTCTTTGCAAGCAGCCCGAAGTCTTCCTCCTCAGAGCTGAATCGAGAGGAACTCAACACAGGAAGAGAAAGAGTCTGAACAACTGTTTGTCTCAAATGGCACACGGGGTCTCCTGCTTGAGCAGGGGGTTGGACTAGAAGACCTCCAGGGTCCCTCTGACTCTGTTCTTCTGAAATCTTGTTTTCTGGCAGAGCTTAAACCCCAGGACTCCTAGCCGGACTGGCCACTCTTATCTCTCTCTCTCCATATTTTTATATATATATAAAGTAATTCAGTGTTTTTCAAACTTGATCACTGTAAGAGGGGTGGACTTCAACTCCCAGAAATCCCCAGCCAGCCATGTGGGTTTGTTCCTTGTTTATATATACACGTGGCTTGTTCTGTCAATGTTGGTGGGTATATAACGCGGAGTATATAAGCGGAGAGCAAACCCGCCCCCCTGCCCTTCTAGCACTGATGATGTTCCCTAGTTGGGTCATGAAAGGTCTACAACCCAGCTCCAAGGACCCATCAGTTTTCTCATTTTCTTCTTCTTCTACTACTACTACTACTACTACTACTACTACTACTAACCTTCTCAGAAACCCCACTCCTTTCTAGTGTTATGGAATGATGGGACCAAACCACATTCCTGGGTCAGCCAGAGACAGTTTTATTGCGCAGTTTCAGAACCAGATTTGTATCTGCAATTCTGAACCCAGAAGAGCTCTGATACAACTGCTTTTATACATCTCCAAGGCAAAGGATTTTGTGAGCACAGCAGTTTTCCATATATGGTTAACATACATTTGTTACATGATAATGGACACTTTCTAATTACTAAATTCTTTCATTATTTTCTAGTTCATAAGATTATCTTAGCTAAACAACCTTCCTCAGTTCTGTGTTTGCTGATGTGTAGATTCATGGCTGCTTTGGATAATAAGTAACTTTTTGTTTCAGATGGATGTCCTTGCATCCTTGACAGCTAGGCCCCTCAGAAGATATATATCACCAAGAATGGAATTTAGCTGATTTAGTGTAATCTCTAAACAAGCACATTTCTTTCTTATAACAATGTGAATAAAGAGGGTCCTTCAGTGTTCATATAGCTGACCCTGTACTATTCCCACATCATTCACATTACTAGCACAGATGATGTTACCTACTTTGGTAATCAAACCTTCCAGAAAACCACCAAGCTCAGAAAGCACAAGGTCCCCAGTCTTTTTTCCTCCTCCTCCTCCTCCTCTCCCTCCCACTCCTCCTCCCTGCAAACCCCACTCCCTTCGAGCACTGATGATGTTCCCTAGTTGGGTTGTGAAACGTCTGCAAGAAAACCACCAGGCTCAGAGACCACCAAGGACACACACACACACACCCAGTTCAACCCTGAGCTACAACTACCCTCTTCTTCTAATGGTTCCTCTACTATAAATACAAGGTCATCGGCAAAAGCCTGAGCCTTGTATTCTTCTCTCCTTATTTTTAACCCTATAATTTCTTGATCTTCCCTGACCATTTTTTAACAAGATCTATTTAACAAGAAGTAGCACCAAAACTGTTTAAGAAAACAGAGGAATTTGGAGAAGTGGCAGGACTAAAAATAAACAAATAAAAATAAATCGAAACTAATAACAAAAAAAATCTCACGAAGAACCAAGAAAAAGAATTGGAGAACAGTATACAAATTCAAACCACGAAGAAAATAAAATACTTAGGGATCTGGTTGTCAGCAAGAAGTTCGTCAATAAAAGAAAACAACCACGATAAATTAATAATACAGATAAAGAAAGATTTGGATAATTGGAGAAACCTACAGATTTCACTAATAGGAAGAATCTCCACCATTAAAATGAATATCCCACAACTATCCTCTTCTATTTGTCCCCAGGCGTTCGTCCAGATCTGGAGACCCACTTCACTCCCGCATCGCAATTCTGCTCAGCCCTTTTCCAAACTTTTTATTATTACTTTTTTTCACTCCGGGCCATCCTGAAGTCGTTGGGATCAAACCTGCCCGTGAGCCCCTCAGCTTCCATTCCAAAACTTGCCGTCTTGGAGGCCCCTTTAAGGAAGAGGAGCTTTGGGGAAGCTTTGGAGGCTGCGGTTTACCAAAAGCAAAGGAGCATTAAATCCAGCACATTCCTAAAAGTCAACAGAGCTGCAAAGGTGGTTTATTTGCACAACCAGATCGGAAATCCTGGATCTGAGCTAAGGGAGGGGCTGAGCTCCACCGGCTGGGGGATTCTGGGAGTGGAAGTCCAACCATCTTAAAGTTTGAGCAGAACTAATGTGGTTTAGGGACGTAGTGGCTCAGTGGTTAAGGCGCTCAGCTTGTCGATCAAAAGGTTGGGAGCTCAGCGGTTCGAATCCCGAGTGCCGCATAACGGGGTGAGCTCCCGTGACTTGTCCCAGCTTCTGCCAACCTAGCAGTTGGAAAGCAGGTAAAAAAATGCAGGTAGAAAAAATAGGGACCACCTTTGGTGGGAAGAGAACAGCGTCCCGTGCGCCTTTGGCGTTGAGTCATGCCGGCCACATGACCACGGAGACGTCTTCGGACAGCGCTGGCTCTTCGGCTTTGAAACGGAGATGAGCACCACCCCCTAGAGTCAGGAACGACTAGCACATATGTGCAAGGGGAACCTTTACCTTTTAATGTGGTTTACCCCTGAATTCATGACTCAAACTGGGCTCAGAATTACAGGCAGTCCTCGACTTACGCCCACAATTCAGCCCAGGATTTCCCTTGCTAAGCAAGACAGTTGTTAAGTGAATTGTGCCCCCTTTTTACGACCTTTCTTGCCACAGCTGTTAAGTAAATCACTGCAGTTGTAAAGCGAGTCACAGGGTCGTTAAGTGGATCTGGCTTTCCCTATCGACTTTGCTTGTCGGAAAGTCACAAAATCCCCGGACCCCGTGACATTACGACCGTCATAAATACGAGTCGGTTGCCGAGTATTTTGATTCCGTGGGAAGGCTGCAATGCTTGTAAGTGTGAAAACCGGTCCTAGGTCACTTTTTTCAGTGTCGTCGTAACTTGAAATGGTCACTAAACGAGGACTACCTGCCATGCTTTTGATTTCCCTGCTGAGAAGCAAGAGCTGTTAATTTATCAGCAGCTGCCAACAGACCCCAAGAAGCCAGGCGGCCCTACCCGAAAACAACCCGGCAGGAAGCTCCCCACCTCACCCGCGACCCCCAAACAGGCAACGGAGGGCAGGGTTCTCACTTAGTGGCCGGTTCCTCTTTGAAATAATCTTCAATCAGTTCGTCTTCGCTGAACAGGCTGTTGACGCGTGGCGAACGCCGCTTCTCCACAGTGGCCTTCTGCAAACGGAAGAACAGTGAGAACAGTTAATCAGTGGAACTCCATGCCACCAGAAGTTGCGAGTGCTCCATCCCTGGAGGTTTTCAAGAAGAGATTGGACAGTCATTTGTCTGAAATGGTCTAGCTAGGGTCTCCTGCTTGAACAGTGGGCTGGACTAGATGACCTCCAAGGTCCTTTCCAACTCTGTGATTATGTTATAATTAAAAAGAGAAGATTTTCAACGCCATAGACCCTCGTCCTACCCGGAAGGAGGATCCGGCACTGCCCAAGTTCTTGCAGTTTTGCTAAAGTCTCACAAAAGTGGACAAGTACAGGCAGTCCTCAATTTAACAACTGTTCGTTGAGTGACCATTCTAAGTTAACGACTGTGAAAAGGAACCGGAAGCCCATCCTACAAGACCCTTGGCCATGATAGATTGTGCCCAACACATCAGACAGACAGACAGACAGAGAGATATGGTAGACAGATAAGATAGAAGATAACAGAATAACAAAGTTGGAAGGGACCTTGGAGGTCATCTAGTCCAACCCCCACCCACCGAAACAGGAGACCCTACACCATTCCTGACCGATGGCAGTCCAGTCTCTTTCCGAAAGCCTCCAGTGATGAAGCTCCCACAACTTCTAAACACAACTTCTATTCCATGGGTTGATGGTTCTCACTGTCAGAAAATTCCTCCTTATTTCCAGGTTGAATCTCTCCTTGGTCAGTTTCCATCCATTCTTCCTTGTCTGGCCTTCAGGTGCCCTGGAAAATAGCTTGGCCCCCTTCCTCTTCTCTGTGGCAGCCCCTCCCTCAAATATTGGACCACTGCTATCCTGTCTCCCCTGAGAGTGCAACAGAGATAGATAGATGATAGATAAATAGATAGATGATAGGCTGATAGATGATAGAGAAGAGAGAAGAGAGAAAGATAGGCAGAGAAAGACAGAGGTAGACAAATAAAATGGAAGATGATAGAGAGAGTGTAACAGAGATAGAGATAGATAGATAGATAGATAGATAGATAGATAGATAGATAGATATAGATAGATAGACAGACAGACAGACAGATAGATAGATAAATAGATAGATAGAGATAGATAAAAGATAGATAGATAGATAGATAGAGAGAGAGAGAGAGAGAGAGAGAGAGATAGATAGATAGATAGAGATAGACAGACAGACATGATAGAAAAAAGAGAGAGAGAGAGAGAGAGAAAGAGTGATGAGAGAAAGAGGAGAAAGGGAGAAAGAGGAGGTCTGGAGAGCTCTGGTGAATATCCACGTTGCTTCTGTCTTTTGCTCTCTATCTATGATAACTTGCTTTACTCTGTGCCAATTAATCAAAATTATTCCCTTGGGGGGAATCTTTGATGGGCCGTCATTTGCATTTCAATCAATGACGCTAATTAAAGCTGCATCAAACGGCCTGAAAGTAAAACCCAAGTTCTGAAGGAAATGCAAATTTTTACATGATTCTTTTAAACATTTTACAAAAAAAAAAAACCCAAAAACCAGGACCATCTGAGAACATGTCGAGAGAGTAAGTGTGTGTGTGTGTGAACACTCAATGAAGAACATCTATTTCTATGCAGAGACACCCACCTTTATGTTCTTAAAAGCTGACCCCTTAATTAGATTTTTGAAACGAATCCCAAGATTGCCTCTCTTCAAATTAATTACAGGTAGTCCTCAACTTACAACCGTTCATTTAGTAACCGTTGGAAGTTTTTCAACGGTCACCGCTGCAGCCTCCCCACCATCACGTGATCAGAATTCTTGGCAACTGATGTGTACCCCGTATTTATGACGGTCGCAGTGTCTCTGCGGTCATGTGATCCCCTTTTGCGACCTTCTGATGAGCAAAGTCAATGGAGGAGCTGGATTCACTTAAGGACCATGTTACTTAACAACTTCAGTGGTTCACTTAGCAACTGTGGCAAGGCAGGTTGTAAAATGGATCAAAACTCACATTTAACAACTGCCTTGTTCAGCAATGGAAAATTTGGGGCCAATTGTGGTCGTAAGTCAAGGACTATATGTATCTGTCTCAATTGCCCTTAGAGCAAACCAGCAAAAAAGAGAGGAAATTTTTCCTTCCTTCTTTCCTTCCTTCTCCTTCCTTCTCCTTCCTTCCTCCCTTCCTTCGCTCCTTCTTTCCTCCCTCCCTCTCTCCTTGCTTCCTCCCTCCCTTCCTCCCTCTCTCCTTCCTTCCCTCCTTCTCACTCCTTCCTTCCTCCCTCCTGCCTTCCCTCACTTCTTTCTTTCCTTCCTCCCTTCCTTCGCTCCTTCCTTCCTCCCTCCCTCTCTCCTTCCTTCCTCCCTCCTGCCTTCCCTCACTTCTTCTTTCCTTCCTCCCTCCCTTCCTCCCTCTCTCCTTCCTTCCCTCCTTCTCACTCCTTCCTTCCTCCCTCCTGCCTTCCCTCACTTCTTTCCTTCCTTCCTCCCTTCCTTCGCTCCTTCCTTCCTTCCTCCCTCTCTCCTTCCTTCCTCCCTCCTTCCTTCCCTCATTTCTTCCTTCCCTCCTCCCTTCCTTCCTCCCTCTCCTTCCTTCCTTCTCGCTCCTTCCTTCCTCCCTCTCTCCTTCTTCCTTCTTTCCTTCCTCCCTCCCTCCTCTCCTTCCTTCCTTCTTTCCTTCCTCCCTTCTCTTCCTTCTCTCTTCCATCCCTCTCTCCCTTCCTTGGCAGTGGCAGGGCCTGGCAAATCCCCCCATCTCTTGCTGCATCTCTTGGTGCAGAGATGCCCAGAGAAGAGCCGGCCAACGTCCTCTCCCTGCTTGGACCCCGGGAGGCTTCTGAGTCTCCGCGCAAACAGGAAGTTGTGCAGGCCGGACCCCCTCTATTTATAGCTGAAGGAAGCACCGCTGTGGGGTTTCTCAGAAGCCGCCCAGAAATCTCCCCTCCGGCCACAGGAGCAGCGAGAGAGAGAGAGAAACCTGTGTGCTCCGCACTGCAGGGGTCACAGCATCGAGGAGGGAAGACCTAGGCAGCCCTCGACTTACAACAGTTCGTTTAGTGGCCGTTCGAAGTTACCAAAGCCCTGGAAAAAAATGACTTGGGGCTCTTTTTTTCACACTTAACAACCGTTGCAGCAGCCCCTGGTCACGTGATCAAACCTCGGACGCTTTGGAAACAGACTCGTATTTATGACGGTTGCAGCAACCCAGGGTCACGTGATCCCCTTCAGCGGCCTTCTCACAAGCAACGTCGGTGGGGAAGCCACTTAACAACCATGTCACTAACTGAATTAACTGAATATTATCCTAAACCAGCATTATCCTAAACCACCATTATTCTGAACCAGCATTATCCTAAACCAATGTGATCCTGGACCAGTGTTATCCTAAATCTGCTCCTTGGAAGAAAGTCCCACCAGCTCTGGACCACTGGCTGGTCATGGTGGATCTCCAGGGGAGCTCAAGAGGTTCTGGAGAAGGTCCTGGTCAGGGGTCTCTGGACAGCCAAAGCTGGAAGCCTTCCCCACGGACGGACCCTGAGATCTGGCCATCCATCGCCCGCTCCTCTCCATCTCCACGTCAGGGACAGGTGGAGAGAAATGGACCTTTGTCTTCTTCTCCTCCAAGCAACGAACCAACATCTCGCCAGAGACTTACAGACACACCTTGTCAGTCATCTCTTCCGTAAAAGTTTCCCTCTCCTCCTCAAATGGTGGGTCCTCATAATCCGAATCATCTGCAAGGCAAGAAGGCAAAATCTCCATCATCATCCTCTTTTAACGACCCCACAATCCCTTGCCGGGTGGAGTCTTGGGCAACTGAACGGAGCTGAGTGTTTTAATGGCCGGATGCCTTTCCTGTCACCAATGCGGAGTTTTGTTCAGCAGATATTTTCTCATTGTGCCCAGAGAGAGAAATATCTGCCTCTACCTAGGATCGAACTCACAGCCTCCGGATTGTGAGGCGAAAGGTAAGACCTCCGTGAACGATGGCAATGGAGTCCCATCAGCTCAGACCTTCTCCAGCTCGCCAACCCACCCCGACTCTATTTCCAAAGTTCCTACCAAGAGGAGACTTTGCATCATGGCATTCAGTGTCCCTCACTTAAGGACAGGAACTTGGCAACTGCTCCACATTTGTGACTGCTGGCTGAGTCCGAAGATTACACGATTTGCAGAACCACCCATCAGATAGGCTAGATTCGCTTAATGACCATGTGATTCCCTTAACAACTTACTTTACAACCATCGTAAAAATCATTTTAAAAGCAACTCAGGTTATGTACTGGCTTTTTAATGACCACAGAGACTTACAATCAAAATTCTGGCTCGATTGTAGTCATAGGCTGAGGACTGCCTGTAGAGATAGTCCCTGTTTAGTGACTCCAACTGGGACCAGCAATTCAGTTGTTAAGGGAATCGGTCACTGAGTGAAACCATAACTGCGTTTATGATGTAATTTCAGCTTTCTTTTGCTTTAAAAAACCTACAAAGGGCGTAAATTTAAGGACTGGGTGTAAAGTTACATTTTCATCACTGTTGTAACTGCAAATCGTCAGTTGCTAAAAAAGGACACATATATTACTAGAAAAAATATTTATTTTACATGCAGACTTTCCAGATTGAAATGCTCCTCTCCCTCACCCCAAATTCTTGCATACGAAGGAATTTTATGCAGACTTTCATATTCCAGATCTGTAAAACTGGGAAGAGGGAAATTTTAAGAAACGTTTGGGAATTTTCATCTCAAGTCTAACTTGGACCTTAAAGCCTTTAGTGTTGCAGGAGGTGGAGACTTACCAAACTCTGGGTGCAAAAGGAGGGGGGGCTTTGGAGGGATCTCGGGGCCACTGTTCTGCTCTGGGAACTTGACACGCAGGAAGAGGGTGGGGGGTACGGGGTGCAGGTCCTCAGATCCCGGAGGTTTCTCTTTTGCAGGAGAACTGGAAGGAGAAAGCAGAGCTGTCATCTAGGACCATAAGGGAGGCGGGGAGGAGGAGGAGGGAGAAGAAGGAGGAGGAGGAGGAGAAGGAGGAGGAGGAGAAAGAGGAGGAGGAGGGGGGAGGAAGAGGAGGAGGAAGAAGAGAAAGAGGAGGAGGAGGGGGGAGGAAGAGGAGGAGGAGGAGGAGGAGGAGGAGGAAGAGGAGGAGGAGGAGAAAGAGAAGGAGGAGGAAGAGAAAGAGGAGGAGGAGGGGGAGGAGGAGGAAGAGGAGGAGGAGGAGGAGGAGGAGGAAGAGAAAGAGGAGGAGGAAGAGGAGGAGGAGAAAGAGGAGGAGGAGGAAGAGCCTTGGTAGTACAGGGGTTTAAGGCACCCTGTTATTAAGCTGTTATTAAGACCAGCTGCCTGCAATTACTGCAGGGTTCGAATCTCACCAGGCTCAAGGTTGACTCAGCCTTCCATCCTTTCTAAGGTAGGTGAAATGAGGACCCAGTTTGTGGGGGCAATAAGCTGACTTTATATAAATATACAAAAGGATGAAGGCTATTGCTTAATGCATTGTAAGCCGCCCTGAGTCTCTGGAGAAGGGCGGCATATAAATCAAAATTAAAAAAAAAAAAGAGAGAAAGAGGAGGAGGAGGGGGGAGGAAGAGGAGGAGAAAGAGGAGGAGGAGGAAGAGAAAGAGGAGGAGGAGGGGGGAGGAAGAGGAGGAGGAGGGGGGAGGAAGAGGAGGAGGAGGAGGAGGAAGAGGAAGAAGGAGAAGGAAGAGGAGGAAGGAGGAGGAGAAAGAGAAGAAGAAGAAGAGGAGAGGGAAGGGAGAGGAGGAGGAGGAAGGAGGAAGAGGAAGAGGAGGAGGAAGGAGGAGAAGGGAGGAAAGAGAAAGGAAGGAAGGGGAGGAGGAAGAGGAGGAGGAGAAAGAAGGAGAAGGAGAAGGAGAAGGAGAAGGAGAAGGAGAAGGAGAAGGAGGAGGAGGAGGAGGAGAAGGAGAAGAAGAAGAAGAAGAAGAAGAAGAAGAAGAAGAAGAAGAAGAAGAAATAATAATAAAAGCCTAAAAATAAATAAAATTAATCAATATAGCTAACTGATTTTAGAAGCCCCATAAAGGCTGTCGTTAGATGGTGCCAGAAATGCATGAAAATACGCAAAGGATGTAGATAGCCAGAAGGAATGGGGGGAAAATCCATCAAGAGAGGTAAAGTCACAGGATGACAAGTGCAGCTTCTGAAAGACAGGCTGCTCCCTAGATCAAATACACACACAGAGTTATCTTCAATGCTTTCAACAGGTCCTAGCCTGGCAAAGAACCTCCCTACCAGCATGGTCCTTGACTTACAACGAAAACTGGGATCCAAATTTACATCACCAAGCAAGGCGGCTGTTAAGTGAATCGTGCCTGATTTTGCGTCCTTTTTACCATGGTTGTTAAACGAATCACTGCCATCGTTAAGTAAATCACATGCTTGTTAAAGCAAATCCAGCTTCCCCCATTAACTTTGCCAGCTGGGAAAGTCACAAACCGGGATCAAATAACCCCGGAATGATACGCCATAAAGACAGGCAGTCCTCAATTTATGACCATTGGAAATGATGATGGACCCACTCCCCAAAAGGTACTTACAATCGGTTCCAAACAGCTTCCCACCCTCTCACATTCCCAACAAGCTCCATTGTGGTCGTAAGTTGAGGACTACCCTATAGTCCTGCAACCCAACAAGACAAACACAGACTTCAGAGGATCATTAGAACTGCAGAAAAAACCATGGCTACCAACCTGCCTTCCATGGAGGACCTGCATACTGCACAAGTCAAAAAGAGGGCTGTGAAAATATCTACAGACCCCTCGCATCCTCCTGGACATAAACTGTTTCAACTCCTACCCTCAAAACGCCGCTATAGAGCACTGCACACCAGAACAACTAGACACAAAGACAGTTTTTTCCCCAACGCCATCACTCTGCTAAACAAATAATTCCCTCAACACTGTCAAACTATTCACTAAGTCTGCACTACTATTAATCTTCTCCCACCACCCATCTCCTCCCACTTATGACTATAACTTTGTTGCTTGTATCCTTAAGATTTATATTGACTCTTTCCTAGTATGATTTGATTGCTTATTTGTTCCCTATGACTATCATTAAGTGTTGTACCTTATGATTCTTGACGAACGTATTTTTCCTTTTATGTACACTGAGAGCGTATGCACCAGAGACAAACTCCTTGTGTGTCCAATCACACTTGGCCAATAAAGAATTCTATTCTATTCTATTCACGCCAGTTGTGAAGCGCTCACATTTTGATCACATGACCGGATGCTGCCACAGTCATAAGTGGAGGACCAAATCATAAATCACTTTTCCCACTGCTTTTGTTAACTTTAAGCAGTCATTAAATGAATGAGTTGTAAACTGGGGGCTATCTGTATTCTTTCTTCCTCATCTCTCAATTTATGCCCAGCCAGAAAATCAGAAAAAAAAATGGCTATTTTTGTTTCCCTACCCAGCCATTTCTTCACTTTCATTTCCTCCGATTTTAGGCAATTTGCTAATTTTCCAAATTTCCCTGCAGTATCTGGGGCAACAGAGGAAGCAAAGGGGGTTTCCCCCTCATTTACTATAAAATTGCCCATCAGAAAATGTGGTGTCAAAAGGCCAAGAGAAGAGAGAAAGGGAGAAAGAACCTCATCCTGAACTGACCCCCATTTCCCTCTGCAACCCACCTCCCCATTTTGATTGACAGATGGCCAAAACGGGGCGAGATTCGAATCTTTGCACACATTTAGAGGAGGTTTTGCTACTGCTAAAAATGTGCCCCTGGGCATGCTTCAGATGTAATGGATGAGGAAGCGAGCGAGTGAATTCGTATTTAAAATTTAGGGTTTACCGGATGTGACAACAGAGAGTTGGAAACTGTGTGACTTCATTTTGGACACCACAAAATAAATACCCTCAGCTGAATTTCAGAGCCCTTTTCCCCTTCAGCTGTTTCCTGCAGCCAAATCGACTTTTTTCCTGATGGGAACTTTAACCCCAAAACTGCTCAAGCAGAGATTTATATGCAAAGTTGGGTTATTGCGGCAGCTCTTTCACGAGGGTTCCAGGAAGGTCTGTTATTTCTTTTTTTTCTTTTTAAAGGAACTTTAGTAAGTTTGAAGAAAAGTAAAAATACAAAGGGCAGAGGGGATCAAATGGCAGAAGAGTTAAAAGGTGATAGAAGAGGGGAGGGAGGGAAGAAGGAAGGAAGGAAGGAAGGATGGAAGGAAGGAAGGAAGGAAGGAAGGAAGGAAGGAAGGAAGGAAGGAAGAAGAAAAGAGGGAGGGAGATAGAGATAGAGATAGAGATAGAGATAGAGATAGAGATAGAGATAGAGATAGAGATAGAGATAGAGATAGAGATAGAGATAGAGATAGAGATAGAGAAGGAAGGAAGGAAGAATAAAAGAATAAAAGGAGAAAAGAGGGAGGGAGATAGAGAGAGAGAGAGAGAGAGAGAAAGAGATAGAGATAGAGATAGAGATAGAGAAGGAAGAAGGAAGGAAGGAAGGAAGGAAGGAAGGAAGGAAGGAAGGAAGGAAGGAAGGAAGGAAGGAAGGAAAAGCAAGAATAAAAAGAGAAAAGAGGGAGGGAGATAGAGAGAGAGAGAGAGAGAGAAAGAGATAGAGATAGAGATAGAGATAGAAATAGAAATAGAGATAGAGAAGGAAGGAGGAAGGAAGGAAGGAAGGAAGGAAAGAAGGAAGGAAGGAAGGAAAAGCAAGAATAAAAAGAGAAAAGAGGGAGGGAGAGAGAGAGAGAGAGAGAGAAAGAAAGAGATAGAATAGAGATAGAGATAGAGATAGAGATAGAGAAGGAAGGAAGGAAGAAGGAAGGAAGAAGGAAGGAAGGAAGAAGGAAGGAAGGAAGGAAAAGCAAGAATAAAAAGAGAAAAGAGGGAGAGAGAGAGAGAGAGAGAGAGAGAAGGAAGGAAGGAAGGGAGAGAGAGAGAGAGAGAGAAAGAAAGAAAGAAAGAAAGAAAGAAAGAAAGAAAGAAAGAGAAAGAAAGAAAGAAAGAAAGAAAGAAAGAAAGAAAGAAAGAAAGAAAGACTTTATTCAGCATAGGTCCAAATATATACTAATAACCTCTTATTCTACAATATACAAACTAAGCAAGCCAAAAAAACCTTTAAAACTATATAACAAAATAAGCACTTATTCTAAATTTAAGAACAAACCTTAAGAATATACAAATCTCTATTCTCGCCTACGGCGTGGATGGAAACCAAACCAAAGTTTTAAAAGAGCAAAGGACCATCCAACTTGGGAAGTGATTGTACCCCAGACAGTACAGGCAGTCCTCGACTTACGACCACCATTGGGATCAGAAGGTCGGTTGCTAAGCCAGACTCTGTTAAGTGAGTTGCCGCTGATTTTATGAACTTTTTTTTGTTAAGCAGTCATTAAGTGAATCAGGCAGACGTTAAGGAAATCTAGCTTCCTCCATTAACTCTGCTTATCGGAAACCAGCTTAAAAAGCCACAAATGATCATATGACACACACACACACCGGGAATTCAATAATGTACATACCATGTGCCAAGTGCCCAAATTTTGATTACCCCCTGATTATGAGAAAACTGTGACCGTCATAACTGCGAGGACTCCCTTTTTCCAGTGCTGTTATAACATTGAACAGTCACTAAACGAATGGTTGCAAGTCAAGGACTACCTATACCTCCTTCTAAACCACTGAACAGCTCCCTACAGATGCTTGGCCTTCTAACTCCCATCATCCACAGCCACCAAAGAAGGATATAATTGGAAACGTATTAGAAAAATTTTGCCAAGCCATTCCAGACCCCCAATTCCTGAGACAGGCAGGGACTTCAGACACAGATCCCTCCTTATGGGGAAGGGGGTCAACCTACTCTCCAAAACGCCTGAAGGCAGGAGAGGAATGGATGGAAACTGATCAAGGAGAGGTCCAACCTAGAACTATTAACCAGTGGAACAGCTGGCCACCAGAAGT